AAGCCAAAGACACCCCCGTCTGATGTGTATGCGAGCAAGCAAGGCATAGACATTCTGGGGCCAAGCCCAGGCCTGCAGGAAAATGATATACCACTCGTGCTTAGTACTCGGTACTACCTGTGCCAGCACGAGTAGTGGTAGGTAGCAGCATTTCGTGTTCGGTATTACTTGTTTAGTTGATGCTTCATGCTCCATACCTTGCAAATCCACCGTGCCCGTGAGCAAACCAACCTGTGTGCGCAATGGCGTGCGGCCGAATCCGCAGCCAACGGAACCAAAGATGCTAGATGCCGCGTTTTGGAAGCCTCTTGTCCGTGTGCCGTGGCTAAGATCTCGAGGCATCGCGTTGAATCAAGAATCTGCTAGGGAGCTTTAGATGCCGTGTTTCATGCTCGCCAGGGGTCGCAGCTTTGGCCAGCAGGAGACTTCCAATCGCCATTACATGATGCCTGACCAGGGCTGGTTAGATGGGCTTGTGGAGAGACGAATGGGGCCGGGGTCACTTAGTATCACGAATTTGGGACCTCGATTGGCGCTGCTACAGAGCACTTGGGTGGCTCCCCTGAAGCCCAAGAGCTGGTGCAAGCCAAAGGCGGACGAGGACAAACGCGCAGGCTGTCGAGGCCGATGCGCGCTCCCTCCCTCTCCTCTCCCAACTCTTTCTCGCAGAGTGTCGAATCCTCCTCGCTCGCTCGCTTTTCCTTGCCTTGCCGTCATCGCTACGACCTCTTCTTCTCCCCTGGCTTCCTCGGCGCTTGACGCTGCCGACAGTCCTTGTTATTTTTCGCTCGTTACCGCTGTGACATCCGTCCAAAAAGGCTGTAAGCCGTGACCCTGGCCCTGGTGATACTGTACAGTACCGCAAAAGCTTTGGGCAAGTTCACGAGCTGAGTCAAAGCGGTGTCGAAGCTCCAGCAAAACCCCCGGCCCTGTTGCCTCTCCTTCCATTTTCCTTTCTCAATCCGAGTCAAGGCAGGAGCATCTACACCACCTGCGATTTGCCACGATCAACTTGACCATCTTCCCCGCGTCTCGGCTGGACCAAGAAAAAAAAAAAAAGACACAATTTTCACAATCGCCAAAAAATAATAAAACAAGATAAAAAGCCCCCTCAATCAAGAATCATCCAGGAACGCAATTGTGAGTGACGAGAATGGTTCTTGTTTGTCTTTTCTTCTCTGTCCCCTCTTCCATCAGCTTCCATCGCCACTCTCTTGTGCGAAATCGATACCAATTGCCAAATCACTGCTGCTACGAGGCTGAAGGAGACTCGGGCGACTGCGCTCTTGTCTTTGTCTTGCTTTCATTTTGCCTCTGCAGGGCGATCGTGGAGTGGCGTTGCGCTGGAGACGGCATTGGCTGGCTGCAAGTTGCGACAGGCTCAGCCTTGCGTCAATAACAATCTCTCCGACAATGCGACGAGGCCAGACGCAGAATCAGAGATGGAAGCATGGCCAGCGACGATTGCTCAGACTGCTCAGACTGCTCTGACTTGAGCCCAGAGACAATCGCAAGATAGGCACTCGTGGGCTGTTCCAGTTGCCCGCAGCTCCCGGTCGCATGATTCTGCAGCTGTCACTCTTTTTTTGACACCCCCAACGCGTCGCCTGGTGGCCAGAACCCTGACATTTTGCTTCTGAATGGATGCTAACCGCCTCCTTTTTACCATCTAGTGACGAATTGTTATCGAATTGGAATCGTCTCCGCTGCAGAAGCCCCGCCTCCCCGCCTCTCTGCCTACGTAGCTGGTGCATTAGACCTGCATCGGCATATTGTATATTTGGGTATGGGATTTTCTCTTTTGTACCAGCAATGCTCTAGCGCCTCGTGTTTGCTCTGACTTGCATCTTTGCGACTTTCTTAGTGCCTTCTCTGGCACAAGAAATCACGGACGCAAACAAGCCATCGAAACCACTTGCGGATTTTATTTGTTTCTGACCTCTGAGCTGAGCAGGAATCTCCTAAATCTTACCTCATCCAATCCGGCGTTTCAGAAGTTGATCCCATCCAACCAAACTTGTGTCGTCATCATCGTTACGACGCATTACCCGATCTCTTTTCACTGCAACAACAGATCGGCCAGGCAACGGCTCTCCTGATTTTTGGACGAGCCATATTCAGTATCCTGTCGCTGGCTAAACAATGAGTTCGCCTCCTCGTCGCTCTTCTAGCTTCGGAATGCTTCTCAAGCGGACAAAGAGTGGTGATTTGGGCAAGGGCAATAGAAAGGCCCAACCCGAGCCCGATCGCCAGCCCCAACCCACCTCGCGAGCTGCTCCCAAGCTCCCAGAGTTTTTCAGCGGCGCCGAACAGCTCTCGAAGGCTTTCGCGCCCGAACTGCAGTCTAATCCCGTTCTCCCAAGCAGCCGTTCTGGTCGCGAATCATCCAGCCGCTCTTCTGCAGAGCCTGGTCGTGCCGCTGCTGCCAATATCCCAATCCCTCCCATTCCCAGCAATGCCTTTGATCCCTATGCCAGATCCGAGAGCATGACGAATCGTGGTCGTTACAGCTACGCCAGCAGCAGTGCTATGAGCACGATCAACAACCCAAGGAGGATCCGCAGAAGAAAGGACCCGACCCCATTCAAGTAAGCGGCTATCCAATTGCTACTCTCCTCTTCCACTTGATTGAACCACAACCGACAAGTTAACTAACTATTTCATTAGCATCCTCATTCTAGGAAGCCAAAATGCCGGCAAAACCTCCTTTCTCGAGTTCCTCAAGACTGCCCTGGCACTCCCGCCGAAGAAGCAGGCCAAGAAACAAGATGAAGACACTTTCCAAGTACCTATTCCACCTGTTGGAAACTTCATCCCACACTACCTGGAGACGGAGATCGACGGCGAGCGAATCGGGCTGACTCTTTGGGATTCTGAGGGCTTGGAGAAGAATGTCGTCGACCTTCAGCTGAGAGAAATGTCTTCTTTCTTGGAGAGCAAATTCGAAGAGACTTTTGCCGAGGAGATGAAGGTTGTGCGCTCCCCAGGTGCCAAGGACACCCATATCCATGCAGCTTTCTATGTCATGGACCCTTCTCGCCTTGATCGCAACATTGCGACGGCGAAGAAAGTCGCTTCCCGCAATGGCATTCCCAATGGGGGCTATGGTCAAGCTCGAACACTTGGTGCTCTCGACGAGGACATTGACCTCCAAGTCCTCCGGACTCTTCAGCACAAGACAACCGTCATTCCCGTCATTTCCAAAGCAGACACCATTACAACAAAGCACATGAGTGTTCTCAGAAAGGCAGTCTGGGACAGCATCAAGACAGCAAATTTGGATCCTCTGGAGGCCCTGGGCCTGGACGAGGACAGCAGCAGTGTTATCGAAGAGGAAGCTGAAGAAGGAGAAGATGATGAACCAGCCGAGAAGCCATCTGTTTCACCAGGCCATTCGAAGAGGCTCTCTACAAACTCCATCCGCAGACACAAGTCTGACGAGGCCAAAGATGAAGAAGCACCATTCCTTCCGCTTTCCATCATCAGCCCAGATCTTTACGAGCCCAGCGTTATCGGCCGGCAGTTCCCTTGGGGATTTGCTGACCCTTATAACGAGGAGCACTGCGACTTTGTGCGCTTGAAGGAGGCCGTCTTTACCGAATGGCGTGCTGAGCTGCGCGAGGCCAGCAGGGAGCAATGGTACGAGGGCTGGCGAACAAACAGACTCAAGCACCGCGATCTTCCCCATGCGCGATAGAGCTTCAGACAACCCTGACTGGCAGGGCCAGAGCGCGACTTCTCTGTCATGATCCGCTGAGCAATTCAGCAGAGAATACGTGTAGACCTTGTCGCTGTGTCCCTGCTGTTTGTTTCAACCTCCTCATTACGCCCCATTTACCTTAATTTCCGCCTCCGATTAGCGTGGCATACCCTGGCCTTATCTCCGCCTTGGGCTTCTTTCTTTCAGCGAGACAGGCCCTTTTTGTTTGTGCATGGAGGTGCCGATGTAAGACTCATTTCTTTGCATTGTCGAAAAAGCAACATCATTTGATTAGCCTTGATTCAGAGATGTTATAATTGTGGCTCTGTGCGCAAGTGACGAGGGAGAGTTTATATTTCCCTGAGCTTTTGCGGAGCTGTTGTCTGTCTCTACTGCATCTTTTCCTCCCCGCTCTCTTGTTCAGGGCGATTCTGCTGTTGACAGAGAGAACAGGTTGCTGGCGCGATGGAACTTTTTTCTTTTTTCTCTCTCATTTTTCTTTTTTCTTTGATACGCAAATGACTTTTGATTCCCCCCATCATTCCTTTTGATGTCCTTTCCCCCCTATACGACGTCTCCTGAGAATTCACCTCTGGAGACCCAATTTGGAACTGCGGAAACGGCGACGACGAATGGTAATTTCTTCTCTTTTATCCCGCAGCCTGGTGCGAAGCAGTATGATCGATACCCGATGATGGGAAAACCTATTTTGGCGGCTTTACCTTGTTATCTTTTTGTATCTTTAGCTTTGTTTTCTTTCCTCTCTTGTCGAGAAAAAACAAAACGGAACAGCAATTGCAGCAAGAAAAACGAGCACACAATGTCCCTGGATAGGTATCTATGAGTATGCGCGGAAAATTGCTTGGACAGATGTAGAATAGGATGAAAGAGGTTTTTCTTCTTTTGCAGAATCCTTTTTTGAATTTGAACTTTGACCCTTTGACCCTTTTTTTTGGTGCTTGTACATCTTTTGGCCCTCAAGGGTATTTTTGATGACACGATATGCCGAGATGAGATGTCGTTTGCAAGTTGGCGAAGCTACTCCATGGGTGTTGCTGATCAGGCAATATTGATTGGTTGAATCGTTGCCCGTCCTTGGCACGTCATATTCCGTGCAGCTCCTACTCACGCCATCCTTCAACATCTCCACCAGCTTGATCTCTCCAAGGGGACATTCCATACATAAATCAGTCATCTAACCCCTTCAGCTGCGATTCGTCATGGTACTCACTTCACTCGAGGGTAAAAACGCGTCGACGAGAAGGGGCGGCGAATCTTAGCGCCAAGAGGTCAAGGTATAATGTTTGTTGAGTATTCCAAAGTTATCCCGCTGACCGATGGGGCATTAGAAAAGCAATCACAAGAGACGCGGAAGGATTCTTTAGAATCACCGCTCTCGCAGCATAGACCTGCCGAACCGAGCCGGAAACGATCCCGCTCTTACAGCGAAGACGCCGAGAACACTGTAGAAGGCCGTGCCCTGAAACGGAGGCGGGCGTCTTTCTGTGCTGCCGAGACAGATTTCGATGAGGCTAACGACAGGAGCAATCCAATCAAATACTGGATTCTAGAGGGGAAATGGCCACGTCAGTACACTGAGCAGAATCTCAATATGGAACGCGTGCTTGCGAGGATAAAATCTACACCTTCGCTCTCCCAGAGCCGGAAGCAGTCAGAGCCTAGCTCTGCAAGCTCTGCAACACCTAGCGATCAGAAGCCCAGAGAGCAGAAGAGTGCAACTTACCGCGATCGAGCATATCAGCCAGCTCCAAGTGCGGAATTTTAGCACGCAGGCCTCATGCTATTTCACTTTAAGGCTCCCAAACTGACTCAAACCTGATGAAACGCAAACGCGAGAATTCCGATACTGGCGATGATTGCTCTTCTGGCTCTAATATTCCCTTGATCAGTTTTAACAGAGCATCGTTGCCACTCTCAGTTACCAAGAAGAAAATCGGGATGGTTGTAATGAAAGACATGATCACTATTAACAGATACCAGAGTATGTAAGTAGAATCCTAGATTTCTTTCCCAAGCCCTGATGCTCCCATTCCTTGATTCAAGTGACGCCGAAAAGCCCAAACGCCGTGATAAAGGTAACCAAGTAGTTGCCGTCGCCATCAAAACACAACAAATCTTATACCTGAACAACGCACCGTCTCTCAGCTTTCCAGCCAGTACATGTCGGCCTCGGTATTGATCGGCCTGCCGTTGCTGTCGATATCATTCTCCCTCCTGGCATGATTCTTGCCCAACTTCTGCAACCGATCAATTTCCTTCCTGCTCAGCGTGACCAGATCAAACCCCCGCGGCAGCACCGCGTCAGAGATGAGGAAATCGACCTTCATATTGCGAGCCCTGTCACGATAGGCCTGCGCGTCCCGTGGACGCTCGAAAAGATGGCTGTCTTCCCTGTTGATGGTGGACCAGGCGGCAGCGCGGCGTGCAATGAGGTCAACCAATGTGGCCGAATCGTGATCGCTCCAGACACAGCGTCTCTTAAGAGTCTGTGGCTGGGCCAATCGCGCATTTAAGCGAGCCTGGTGCTTGATTTGCTTGATGGCTGTGAAATCTGGGGCGGAAGATGAAGGAATGGATGGAAGCGGCCGCGCAGTCGAGGTATTCGCAGCAGGACGACGGTATTCCCTCTGGTATTCCTCACGCCGGTATGCAGGGGCGGATGAAGAAGTTGTCTTGCCCCTTTTGGTAGGTCTCCGTTCCGCTTGATAACTGTTGTAGTCGCCGTCCTCGCGTTCCCTCTGTAGTTCTCGGTGTCGGTGCACAATGGCAGATGATGCAGTTGCCTTACCTTTTCTAAAAGGCCTGGGGTCTTCTTCAAAGTCATCCTCTTCCTCTTCTTCCTCCTCCTCCTCTTCCTCGAGCTCCTCTTCGAGCTCCTCTTCTTGATCGTCATCGAAATAGACGCTCTCGCTCTGGTATTCGCTTTCTTGATACGATCGCTTGCGCGAGGACCCCGATGGAGCGTGGGCAAGAGATACACTGCCGAGCAGACCGACTAGTTGTCTGCCCATGAATAAAGAGCTGCTAGAAACTGAAGTTAGCAAACGAAAGAGGAGGGGTGGAATCTATCTTACTCTCTATCTCGGCTCTGAAACCGTCGTGGCGGCGGCTCAGGCTGGGAGCTAATCAGATCCTGAGAAGATGCTTCAAAGTCATCGTGGTAGGGAAAACTATCATCGTCGCCGAGCGGTGGCAGCTCTGGATATCTTCCTTCACGCGCCCATCTCTCTTCTTCCCTCCGAGCCCTGTCTTGTTGAGCTTGCCGCTCCTTGCGAGCCCTCTCTTGCTCTTGGGTGTGCTTTCCTCTCACCAATTCTCTCACTCTTTCTCTCTCTTGTCGTGCTGCTTCTCGAGCACGCTGCCCCATTTCTCGAGCTTGTTGCTCCCTTTCTCGAGCCTGCTGCTCCCTTTCTCGCACTTGCTGCGCTTCTTCCCGAGTTTTGAGCTCTATTTCCTTGGCTCGTTGCTGCTCCTCTCGAGCCCTGTGTTCCTCCTCAAGAGCTCTCTGCTCTTCCTCTCGAGCTCTTCGATGCTCTCGGAACAGACGTTGTTCCTCAGCGCGCACTTCATCAAGTAGCTTCTCCTTCTCCTTGTCCACCTTTTCTTGCTCTGCCCTGTTTAGTAAAAGCGATAGTGTTGAATATCTGGCCAAGAGCCATTGCTTGAGGGAATCAAGCGTGTGTTTGAGAGGATACTGAGCTCGGATACTGGGCAGATCCACGGGAGTCCTAATCCCTCTCTTGCCACCGTCAGACATTATCTTCCACATGTGGGAGACTCTGTTCGAACAAACATCCACCAGCGATTGTTGATCGAGGTCCGCCAGGGGCTTATAAGGGCCCTTGATAAAGAGAGTACCATAGTCGCTCGGAGCATCTGGCGCGTTCATATTACAGAATGCGTGGCCCAGCATGCCACGCAGGTCTGTGGCCTGGGGCGACCTTGCGATGCTCTCAATTGCTCTCTGAGTGCGAAGTTCCAGGGATATTGCCCGGTACTGCGTGTTATCAGCGGCGAAATGCATGGGGAAGAGGATATCCACAGCCTCGAGAAAAGGCACCGGATTGTCCCCTTCAGACTCGATGCTTTCTATTTGCATGAGAGCGGTGGCAATGTTTGCCAGCTTGATAGAGAGCGGAACAGTAACACTCTCAGGCTCCGAGAGGTGTGCTCCCGCCTTGTCCACCCAATCCCAGTCGAGAAAAGGGGATGCCTGGCGAGGAGCTAGGAATCTACTGCGAGACGCCCTGAAAGTCTGCAACTTCATGAGGAGCACCTTTTCGTATGACGGCCGTGACTTGTTCTGAAACTGGTCGACGAGGTTCTTGGCGTCCCTGGCTAAAGAGGCTACGGCCTCGAGCTTTATCGCATGCTCGGCCTCCTCGACATCGCGCTGGACCATTTCTTCCTCCTGCAGCTGAGCTGCGGATTTGGGCTCCGGGACAAGGGTTTCGTCGTACTCGTCGTCAGTGTTGTCCCTCCTAGGGTTGGTGGCAATACTACTGACGCTGAGATGACGGGGAGCGCCACGACGCGGTACTGGATCAAACACAATGGATCCTTTGCGTGGCACAGATGTCAGGCCTTTTGGAGGTTCTATGCTTGGCAGCACAGGAGATGAATTTGAGGGAGTTGCTGGCGGAGGCGGAAGAGATGGGACAGCGGCAGGAAGGGGAGGAGGTAGAAGGAGAAGAGAGGCCCTCGGTCTTATAGGCGAAGAGCTTGGAGGAGGACTAGGGGAAGAGCTAGAGTGCCTGATAACGACGACGCTCCCACGCCGCTTAGTTGCTCGCGGTGGGTTTCTCCTGGTTGGCTGTGGAGGAGACGAGGATGGCGGAGGCTCAACGGCCTTTTTGGACCGCCGGGTCTGCATCTTGGACTAGCTGCAACGAGGAGCTGACAGGATATAAAGCGGGACAGAGCTGCCGGGCGGCGGAGACGAAGGAGATACAGATGGAGATACGGGATGGAGAAGAGGAGGAGAATTCGAAGAAGAAGCAGAACCGTGAATAGAGGACGAAAAGAGAGAATAGACACTAAGAATAGAAGACAAAGAATACAATGGAAACGGCTCTGCGATGGACCGACGATCTCGAATGTCTCAAAGAACTAGCGGCACGCTTTGGCGCTTTGGCGCTTTGTTGTTTGTCCGGAATAGCGTCCTGTTTGCTTTGAGCAACGCGATGAAACTGTACAGTTTTATGCCTAACCTAACCCTATCCCTCCAAAAAGTCGGGAATCGTCCCCTGCGCGCCAGAACACGCTAAGCCTTTTTCGGCGACGTCTGTCTCTAGCTGGGGGTAATTTGATGGATCTCGCTCAGCAGACCTGGAGCACAGATAATCAACTGGCCTATCAAGAAGAGAGGACGCGGCCTGTTGGTTTTCTTTCTTTCTTTTTTTTTTGGCCGGATTAAGGCGTCAAGATTTGGCACGGGACAGGGCGCAATCACGGCGGGAAAAGCTGTTGGGCGTGTGTACGACTGTGTAAGATTGGCGGAACTGTGAATCCAGCTTGTAGCGTGTACGCCCATTGCGGCACCCTGGCAAAGGCGGGACAACGGCCGGATGAAGCTGAGATTGGTACTGGATTTGCAGAGCCGAGAAGCAGGCGACAAGTATCGGGTACCGGCGTGAAGCACTGAAAAGTTTACGCAGAAATGGGTCAGGGCAGAGGACGAGAGGTTTTTTTTTGGGGTGGGAAGAGACGAAGACACGCAGGCAGGGAACTGCTTGCAAACGGGGTTCTATTCAACTACATGGAGGTACTATGCTAGCCTTTGTATGTATGTATTGTCTATGGAGCAGAAGAATCAAACGAATTGCCGCCGAGGAAGCGCAGGAAATGTATGTATGCAAGATAGGAGACTAGAGCTGGTAATGGCATCTGTTTTTCTTTGATTGACCAAGCAAAGACCGGCGAGCTTCTTGGTCGTTTTTACTGTACAGTGCGGTAGTTGGGCGAGCCGTGAGCCCCGCAGTGCGGAGAGTACAGTCCTATTGAAAGAAGTCTCTGTACCACGGGTTTGCGTTTGGTGGCGTACAGGGACGGAGCCAGAGGTCGTGGTCATTTATGACTGACGACCTCATGGATAAGCAGGTTGGACGGGCTCACATCATCGACTCGTGGTTCCTTGTGCTTTAGTTGCTCTTCTTCTGGGCTGTGATGGCGGCGGACCCCTGTCTGTCGGGGCCAAACAAGCCGGAGAGATATGCAATACGCGTCAAGGCAAGAAACAACTATGGCATGAGAAAGGTGTGGTTAGCTGTGATGTAATGTGATGTAATGTGATTGCCAACAAACAGCAAAATGTGCAGCAAATTGCAGCAGCGCTGCCACTCTGGCTGCAGTTGAAATCTGCCCGGTTTCGATTTCGCGGGTTCAAATGGCCAGGGTCAACTGCCCGGCTTCAATCGCCCAGGTTCGCCTGCCCAGTGTGCCCAATCTGCCCGGTTGATCTGGCCAATTGTCCAGGTTCAGCTGCGCGGTTTCGATTTCCCGGTTTCAAGTGGCCAGGTTCATCTGCCCGGTTTCAATCGCCCGGCCTCAATCGTCCAGGTTCATCTGCCCGGTGTGCCCATTCTGCCTGGTTGATCTCCCCAATTGTCCAGGTTCAGCTGTCCGGTCTCCATTGCCCGGGTTCAAATGGCCAGGTTGATCTGCCCGGGTTCAATTGCCCGGTCTCAATCGCCCGGGTTCAAATGGCCAGGCTTAGCTGCCCGGTCTCGATTTCCCGGTCTCAATTGCTTGGCCTCGTCTGCCCGGTCACGCCTCGACTGCCTGAACAAGGTGGATAGGGTGTGGGCGAGCAGGGGATACTGCAGCCTCCAGCTGCAGGGAGACTCCAAACCCACTGGGCAGAGAGGACAGACTGCACAGGGCAGAGGACAGACGACAGAGGGAGTGATGAAAGTCAAGGAAAGGGAGGAGAGGGGAGGGGAAGTGTATGTGCGTACGTACCGTGGCCCCGAGATTTCCCCAGGCCATGGCGTTCCATCCAGAGACGTCCATGAACCTGTGCGAGCCCATGCCGTACCATGTGAAGCCAACGTGGCCGGCATCAGCAATCAAGAGGGCGATGAGGTAGTTTCGGACGACTCTGGCCTCGGAGGTGGTCCAGAACAGGGCCAAGCCCACCAGGCACATCCCGAGATACATGTTGCCCAGCTGATGGGCCAGAACGATGCTATTCTCCGAGGCGGGCAGAGGCTTGTGCTGGGGGATTTGCTGTGCCACGAACCATGCCGGGTCGTATACGGCGCCGGCGAAGCCAGCCACGCTGTGATTTGGTCAGATACTCTACATACAGATACGAAATGATACAGAGTCTCTTTTCGCTTGCCGTGCTCGCTGCAGCCAGTCGTTGTTGGTTTTGTTTTGAATTTGAGTGGGTTGGTTATGGGCAGAGGGAGCATTGATTGGGTTTTGCTGCGACCCCCTCCCAGACCTCGCATATTTTATGCATAGCAGGAGAAGAGAGGAGAAGAGAGGAGAAGAGAGGAGAAGAGAGGACAGAAGATGGTAAATGGTGGGCTGTGTCCAATGCCGCGATTGGGCAAGCGATAGATGCATGATCAAACTCCAGAGGAGACGACAATTGGGCTGGGCTGGGCTGGGCTTGGCTTACAGCGACAGGGGCTCGAGGACGGTAAAGACGAGGCGGGGGAAGGGCGGCAGTGAGGCGGCCATCATGTGCTTGTGCGTCTTGGAATGAGGGGGCAAGAAGAGGAGACAAGAAGAAGAAGACGGAGATGGAGAAGGAGATGCGGATGATGGGATGATATGATGAGTGGTGTGAGCCCAGATGAGGAGAGAGGAGAGAGGCGGGAAGACCAAGTGTGCGAAAAGAGGAGGAGAAGGCGTGGAGACGAGACGATTGTAATTGCAGTACTAAGCCAACCAGTGACAATTTAGCAGTGTAGTTGGTGATGATGATGATGATGATGTTGATGATGAGATTTGCGACGAGGGTTGGATGTTTTTCTTTCTCTTCTCTTTCTTTTGTTTCAATCAAACATCTATTACCCCGTTGTTGACCAGTGAAAGTTGATGCTCGAGGTTCCTGTTTTGGCTCGAGGCGCAAGGGAGTACGTACTCTCTCATATTAACGCGGCCAGAAAATTCAGAGACGGCAGAATGAATTTGTCCATCCGCGCTGGAGCATCCGCTGGAGCATCCACTGGAGCAATTCGAACAAGATGACACACCACTTTGTCATATGCGTGTACTGTACTATAATGTATTGGAATCATTCTCCCAGTCTCTATTTTTCTTTTTCTTTTTCTTTTTCTAGTACACGATGGAATAGTTTAATCAATTCCATCAATTTCATTCCGTCAAATTCCATTCCGGCGGTTGTCATGACACTCACTGAAGCAGCGCTGTGCATCGGTGCATACATCTACTAAAGGCCCCACAAAAACCTTGCGCCGATGCCCAGCTTGTCTCTTGTTCACAGCAGCCAAACTCGAGCACCAACAGAGAGAAATGCCGGCAGCACTACTACAGTAGGTCAGTAGGTCCCTGCTATACTAACCGGGTGCCGCCCCATCAAAAAGCATCATCAGCTCAACGTGCCGCCGCAAACGTACGACCCAGGACAAACGAATCGGCGCAATTCGGGAGGCAGCACTCACACATGACCCGTTTCTACTTCATTTCAAATTTGTCCAAATCTAATGCTACTATTATTGCTATTACTACTGCTATTACTACTAGGTATTATTATATTATTACCTAGCATTACTACTACTACAAACTACAAACCTCTCGGCTCTACGGAGCAAATGCGTCGCCATTACGAATGCCGAGATCTCCCAAGTACACAGTACCCCCAAACTCCACCATCCACCTCCCATCTCCCCCCGTACCAGCTACAACCCCCTCTTCCAAATCACCGGCTGACACTCGTCCTCACCAAAAAAAAAAGCCACCAAACTTGTGCCGGAGTACGCGCTCCCCAACGTAAAGCCGAAAAAGCCCAAACTTTGCTTTGTTCTTTTGCTTGCTTTTGCTTGCTTTACTCGTCTTTTCGGTTCCATTCTTACCAACAATCAAAAGAGCAAATCCTCCCCTGTAGCGCCGTCTCACCAACTAAACCCCATTCCGCAACTTTCCATGCCTCCAACCTGCCAAACCTGAGCGCTTCACGTGCTGACTCTCTCTCTTCAGCTCTCCCTTCTGCCTATCCTCTCCTGCCATACTCCGTATGCCAATCCCCTTTTATTCTATCCCCCGCCTCCCTCTCCCTCCAAATTCGTCTCCAGCCGCAGCGGCACAGGTACCATCGCGTTAGCAGCTGCAACCAGAAAAAGCAAAAAAGCGGAATTCCATCCAAGACACGGAGGGTCATGTCGAGGCCTCACTGTGCGGAAGTGCGGCATAGCATAGCTTAGACACTTCCGGTTCCTTTTTTTCCCTCCCTTTCTATCTCTCTACTACTCTGCTACTCTGCTACTCTACTACTCTCGCTCTCTCACACACTCTCTCTTTCAACCAACTCCCTCTCTCTCATTCATTCCCTCCTCATCTCATCTCTCTCTCTCTCTCTCTCCTTTCGTCGCTCGTTGATCCGTCCAAATCCAAATCTCTCCAAATACCCTCGCTCACGTGCGCTTCTCCGTCGACCCGGCTGTCTTATTACTTCAGCTCCTTCATATCATTCATTGCTCTACATCCACAAACTGCTGCGTAACAACTCGCCATGGCCACCATCGAGCCGCGTCTGATCCACCTCTTGAATGACGATCCGACAACCCCGGAGCTCCCCAACACGGACCTGCTCTCGCTGCCGTCGCTGCCCGCCTTGCAGTTGCTGCCCTTGTCCGGGGCTCGCGACGGGCCTCTACCGCCGCTGCAGCTCGAGGGTCTTCGCGCAGACAGGTTCTTCGGCAGTGCTGGCAGGAATGCCGCTCTTCCCGGCCCCAGCACCGGAGCTCCCCTGGCCTCGCCATTCATCGGAGACCAGTCCAACGCCTATTCAGACTACAGGAGGGACAATGACTTTTCCAAAGAAGGCAAATATGCCGGGAGCTCGGCGTTATATCCGCTGAGGCTGTTGCTGAGCGAGGTCAACATGCCGCTTATACCCACGACGTCAGCTCCTTCATTCACCAGCATTCTAAACGAAGGGCCAGACTTTCAAGATGATGCTCCCTCGTCTACATCCAATTCTACCTCCACGTCTTCAACTTCCTCTTCATCATCTTCTTCTTCAAATACCACAACCACTGATACCCCGGCTTCTTCTTCTACTACCAACAAGAAGAGACCAGCTATTCATATCAAGGATGATTTTGTCCAGCTACCACAACCCGCAAAGAAACCCAAGGCACACCAGGCTCCCTTTATGCCACCCATCATCAACGGACTCCTTGAGCCGCCGCCCCATGTCGCTCTCTTCCCCCCAATTGAGTCCAGTGCCTTTGATGACACTGACGCTGGCCAGAGCAAGCTCCTCCATGAGCTCAGCTACAGCCCCCCCGGCCCCCGTCTGTCTCCGGAGCCCGATCAACCCGTCACCAAACCAAGGGCAACAAGAAAGCGTTCAAGCAAGCCCAGGCGCAAATGGACAGAAGAGGAGACGAATCATCTGCTCAAGGGCGTTGATCGCCATGGTGTCGGCAAATGGACCAGCATCTTGGATGACCCTGATTATGTCTTCAACTCGCGCTCTGCCGGTGATCTCAAGGACCGCTTTCGTACTTGCTGTCCCGAAGACATGCGCGTAACCGAGGCGGATGAAGTCAAGATTCGTGCCCGGCGACGGCACTTTAGGAGCAAGCCGAGATCAAAGCCGCCGACACCAAAGAAGAGGCCAGCCAAGACACTACAAGAGTACCAGGAGCCTCAAGAGCCCCAAGAGCCCCAAGAGCCCCAAGAGCCCCAGGAACCCCAGGAACCCCAAGAGACTGAGGAGACTCTTCCAGCCCAAGGTGGGGCTCTACCAGACAAGGACCCGGCCGCCTGTCCTCCGTCCGAATTTGACGATGTGCCCATCAAGAAAAGTCGGGCTCATCGGATGAAAGTGTCGGACCTCGCAGGGCTCGGCATCACTGGGCCCTTTAGAAAGGCCCGTAGGCGGGAGAGGACTGCCTTTTCCAATCGAGACGACCAAGAGATTCTGCAGGGCCTTGAAAAGTATGGCGCGTCTTGGTCCAAGATCCAGCGCGACGGGCGTTTTCACCTTGGCTCCCGGCAGCCCACGGACCTTCGAGACCGGGTGCGCAACAAGTTCCCCTACATCTTCCAGCGCATCGAAAAGGGTGTCTTCCAACCCAAAGATGTCAGCGTCACAAATATCCTCGAGCCCATGGTCAGCACCACCTTTGTCGGCTCATTCAAGACCGCTCCGGCTCCACCACTTACACTAAACTCCAATCCCGCAAAAGCCTCGCAGGAAGAGTTGCCCAAGGGGCCATCAGCGGGTGGTGGCGAGATGGACATTTCCAGACTTCTACTGGACGACGCCCATGTGACACCTGCGCTCTCTTAGAACCATCACACCTCAGATTACTACCTACTACTGCATCCATGATATCCCATCATCTTTTCTTTGTTCCGAGCCTTTTTGTGCTCGATAATTTACTTTGACGCGCTGACTTGAGCTCGCGCATGGAAGAGGACCGGCCAGGATCATAATACCCCCCCATATTAATGTTGAGCATGATGGGATGAGAATAATAGCAAGCAAAAGATGAATTAATTGACATTTATTTATTCCACATCACCAGTATCCCACTGTATCAAATCCACCTTGGAAAGTTTGTCCTACGGAGCATTGTGGAGCAGCTGTTATCGTCCTCGTTTCCTTATCGTAGAAAAATGGAGAGCCGGAAAAACTGCGGCATCGTGGAGCATCATCATCACGTGATACACCCAAACCCCCCTCATGCCTGTTTTGGCAGTCATGGCCAGCCTTAGGGCAAGAAAGCCCCCACAATTGGCGCGCTCACGAAGCGAGTAGAGAAAAAAAAAAGGTGTGCCGTCAATTTACTTTTCTGCTTCTCGATCCACGCCCAACCTTTCCGTCGTTTTCATCACCGTCGAGAAAACAGCCAGTCGTCACCATGGCCCGAGGAATGTGAGTAACAATCAATACTGAGAAGCATTGCTCTCTATTGCCCAGCATAGGAGACAAAGAAGAAGGATTTCGTATTGTTGGTTTCAAGCAATTTCTTTCCTCTTCGTCTCCAAACGCTGTCGACGATGGCTTCAATCGCAAAAAACAAAACAATAAAAATTCACATCCGCTGACCTTTTTCCCTCACAGCAAGAAGCACCAGAAGCGCCTTAGCGCCCCCTCCCACTGGCTGCTGGACAAGCTGTCCGGTCTCTATGCCCCCAAGCCTTCTCCCGGTCCTCACAAGCTCCGAGACTGCATGCCCCTGATCGTCTTCATCCGCAACCGTCTCAAGTATGCCCTCAACTACCGTGAGACCAAGGCCATCATGATGCAGCGCCTGGTCAAGGTCGACGCCAAGGTCCGCACCGACATCACCTACCCCGCCGGCTTCATGGACGTCATCACCATCGAGAAGACTGGCGAGAACTTCCGTCTCATCTACGACACCAAGGGCCGCTTCACCGTCCACCGAATCCAGGCCGAGGAGGCCGAGTACAAGCTGGGCAAGGTCAAGCGCGTCCAGCTCGGCCGTGGTGGAATCCCATTCTTGGTCACGCACGATGCGAGAACGTGAGTTCTGTCAGACATCATTCAGCCGTTGGATCAAGCTTTGGTCGATTCAGGAAAAGAGGAAAGAGAAGAAACTGAAACAAATTTCTCCTCTCCCTTGATTTGTTCTTTTTTTGCCATCTCTATTTTCCTCCATTGCAAAATGGGAGAAAAAAGAAGACGGAAAAAAAGGCAAAGACGACGACGATGGAAGCTTTATTTGACGGCTGTATGTTTTCCCTGTTCCCCGCGCGAGTGCTAAACATTTTCTTTTCACAGCATCCGCTACCCTGACCCCCTGATCAAGGTCAACGACACCGTCAAGATTGACCTCGCCACCGGCAAGATCACCGACTTCATCAAGTTCGACACTGGCGCCGTCGCCATGGTCACTGGTGGTCGTAACATGGGCCGTGTTGGTGTCATCACCCACCGTGAGCGCCACGACGGAGGCTTCAACATTGTCCACATCAAGGACGCCATTGACAACACCTTTGCCACCCGTGAGAGCAACGTTTTCGTCATTGGCCAGGAGAAGCCCTGGATCTCCCTGCCCAAGGGCAAGGGTGTCAAGCTCACCATCGCTGAGGAGCGTGACCGCCGACGTGCTCTGGCTCACTAAAGGAATTAAAAAAATTGGTAGTACTTTTTTTTTATTTTCTTTTAGTTGACGATGATATCAATCAATGGTAAAAACAAAACGGCATATATGTGGACTGGAGTCTCGGATTTGATGTTTGCTTTATTAGGGAGGAGTGGTTTCTCCTTACGGGATCCCTCCTTCTTCCCTCTCCTCTGGAGATAGCCGGCCCTGAGGCTAACGACGGAAAAGACTTTTAACATATTGAGCCCAAGCTGCTCTCTGTTCACAGTGCTACGTGTGCCTGCCGATTCTCTTGTTCATTCTTGCCAAATGTGAATGTCTATTGTTTCCTGTGAAAGAGCTACCCCTCTATGACCCCTCTATGACCCTTCTATGGAAGCGAAAATGCTGATCAGTCATACGACTAGAAATAATGTACCACCTTTGCAGGGTGCGTGGTATTCCCATTTACATTCCCTCCATACTCCAAATACCCCATCACATCCGGTTGCCCTATGTTGAGAATATCCTCAGTATCGCCAATCACCCACACCGTCTGCATCCCCACAATCATGTGCTGCAGCATGTGGCAGTGAATCATCCACACCCCGGGATCCTGCACACGCAGTCGCCATGCCCGCCATCCCCACGGTTGGTTCGGCTGGACTTTCGTCTTGTACCGGAACAGCATCGTCGTGTCCCGCAGCACCGGGTGTGTCCCGCGGAGCCGCTCCTCGGCCTCCTCGGGGTCGTACGCGCCGGGGCCGCCGCCAACGTCGTAGACGTGACCCCCGTGGGCGTGCCAGGGATGCGTGTCCAGGAACCCTCCCCACGGACCGATGTGGTCGACGGAGCCGAGTTGCTGGAAGACGATCTCGATGACTTCGCCGAGCTTGACGGGGTACGTCTTTGTTCCTGGGTCGAGGCCGTTGTTGGCGATGGCGGCCTCGTAGTTGGGGAGGTACCTTGATGCGTTTTTGTACAGGGAGACGAGGTACGGCTCAGGCGGGCTGGTGTAGTCAACATTTTTCTCGGGGGTATCGCCCCAGGCCACGCCGTTGTCGGTCCACAAGGTGTACCTGTCTACCTGCTTCTGCACATAAACGAAGACGCGGCGACTTACCTCGGCGGCCGAGGGAGCGTCGTTTGGAAATAGGGGCTCCAGTTTGTAATCGAGGAAACCCTCAATCGTGGGCGGCAGATATACTGGCTTCTGTCGGGGCAATGCCGTCGTCGAGACGGGGAGATCGTGTAAGTGGCGATGCTGCAGAGCGTCACACGTGTTACGATATCGCAGCACGGCGTAGCTGGTGACCGTCCTCGGACGGTCGCGGGATTCTATCTGCAGGTAGAAATCCCATTTCTGGAGCGACGCCAGCTCATCACATGTCTTTGTCTCGAAGAGTGTGCTGAAACGCTGTCCTGACCCGATCTGCAGCAATGGCATCGAGTATGGCTCTGTGTACTTGCCATCAGCCTCGATAATCTCGAGGTTCGTGTGGTTTTCAAAGGCCAATGCCGCATATGTCAGCGCCATGGCGCCGATGTAGCGGAAGCGATACGTCTTGCCTGGATCAACCTCTATAACGGAGAGTCTTGCAGATTCGGGATCGACGATGCGATAGTCTGAGATGGTGTTCCCATTGATGAGGAAGCCGCCTGGTTCGCCGGACCAGACGAGCGGCGACGCGCGCATGCCCTCTTCGATGGCCGTGTCCGTCTTGTCGAACAGCTCCTGGATGTGGATGACGCGGTCTCCGTCGACGGGGTACGGGGGCGGGTTTGGGTCGTCGACGATGAGCGGGCCGTTTGCGGTGCTCGTCTGAAAACCGACGTGCGAGTGGTAAAAGAAGGTTCCTGCGGTGCCTCTAGGCGTCTTGAGCTCGTAGTCGAAGTAATGGCCGGGCGGGATAGGCCATTGGCTGGCCATGGGGGAGCCGTCGGAGAAGGGGGCGGCAGCTTGAGCGAGGCCATGCCAGTGCTATTACACGAGAATTTGGTGTGAGTTTTGTTGTTTTCGTCAATGTTACCAATCTGTTTGGGTCTTTTGCTCACTCACCATGGTCAGGTTTGCGTCTGGAATGTCATTGTACACTCTGATCCAGACGACCTTGTCCTCGGGGATGTGCAGCTCGGGGCCGGGCGTCGTGCCATTGACGAGTGTTGTGTATCGTACGATGCCTCCGATGCCGACGTATTGTCGTGTCACTCGGAGGACTTCATCGGGGATGAAGCTGTCGTCGTGGACTCGGGTGTCGCTTGCGGCTGCCGCGGTGACTAGAAGAGATGTGATGAAGAAGAAGACGTCATTTGAGAATAGCCAGCGCATGTTGGCTGGTGAAACCGTCACTCAATATACAACTTTTTTTTTTTGTTTCTCCTTTCTCTTATCTCTTGTTCTACTTCAGAACAATGAGATGTCTTCAGAACAATGAGAAAACGCGTGGAAAAGAGTAAGGGATAGCCAATCGTCGTTGTTGATCCTATCTACCAGCATTCCATCCAACATTCCCGGTCTCAGGCTCAGTTTACATATCTACATTACATCTGCCTCGAGATGACGCTTGCAGACACGCATCTTTCTCGCCTGATGAGCACCCATATTATTTGACCTTTATGATAATTACCTTTGTGATAATTATCGTGTGAAATGGCTGCTCTAGCTCTAGTGAACGACTTGGTACCGCCCGAAGAGATTCCGCGACCATGGCTTGACTAGATGCGAAATAACCTTTGCCTAGGGCACGTCTATTCGGCCGGACACGGTGCGATGACGGACTTGGCGTGCGGAATGCATCATAGTATGCTGTACGGAGTATTCAAGCTTAATTTTGGTGTTAAAGTCTCTTTTTTAGAGCGGCTGCCACTTGGAGTCTATTTGACTTGACATGATGGACATGAAAGCGTCAAGCTCGGGGTATGCTTTCTTTAGTATTTCCATCTAGTACCAGGTAGGCTTGACATGATGGGCATGAAAACGTCTAGCTACGGGGTATACTTTCACCATCATTTCCATCTAGTACCAGGTAGGTAGGCTTGACATGATGGGCACGAGAACGTCAAGCTACGGGGTATACTTTGTCTATTATTTCCATCTAGTACCAGGTAGGCTCAACATAATGGACATGAAAGCGTCAAGCTACGGGGTATACTTTGTCCATTATTTTCATCTAGTACCAGGTAGGCTAACATCCTAGGTAGATACCATAACTGAGTAGATGTAGTACAGAGTCAAATCTCTTGACGGCGCTCTTGTACCTGAGAAGATGAGAAGACATTGTCCAACATGCCATTTTGTCACCAATCGGACATTGCCCCCAGTCAAGTTGGCTGTTATATCATATACATGGCGCAGATTGTAACACCTTTGTTTATTCTTTACAGATGGCTTCTACAAAGCATCTACACTGGCCAGTGGCTTGAGCATGTGGCTCGACTGGAGAGGGGATTGAGGCTTGTACAGAGTGGCTAGAGAGAAGCAGAGAGATCCAAAGCAAAAAGCACAGATCATACAGCCCAGGTAGAGAAAATGAGAAAGCGAGAGATGCCAGGAACCAAAAAATCTGCCAGAATTCGGGGGCATCGCTCCTACACACTTGGAAGGCCTCCCCATCCGTCTCGCCCCTGTCCAAGAGACCTCGCCCAATTCTTTCAGACAAACAGTTCCACTTTTGCCAGCCCCCCTCATTCTCTTAGACAGAGGATGCATATCGAAGTGCTTCCGTCAGTTCGCCTCACTCTTCCCAAGGTCTAGAGCCTTCCTGTATCAAAAATGGCCGTCACAAGCCGCCCGCCCTTTGAAAGCGAGTGATGCCGATCTTCCGGATACTGATGTCACTTCTCATCTTGTTTCATCTGCCTGCTTTTGCCTTCAGGCAGCAAAGGGGACGCCTAAGCTTGATGGTTAAATTTGGTGGCGTTTTTTTCCTTTTTCTCGTGCGACAATAGTTGTATGTAGGGGCGATGTAGGACTCATCCGGGGGGGCGTGTGTCGTTCCTCCGGGGAAGGCAGAGAGCTTCCGGGAGACAGACTGCCTGCATCCTCGAATGCTTTCTAATGCAAGCCTGAAAGCCACAACTGATGTTTCGGTGAAAACAAGTATTACGAGAGGCCCGTGGAGGCTGGCGTGTCCTTTCTTTCTGAGTGGTCAACGGATGGGGGAGAAGGGAGAAGTGGTGTGCGGCTCGCGAAGGCCATGGAAAGCCAGAGAAGCTGGATAATCCTTGGTTAGAGAGAGAAGAGATACTGTACACTCATGGGTGTGCCTCTATAGGATCCTGCATGGAGAAAAGTGTACGCCATATGAGGGATACACCGGCGAATAGATGCACCCATAGAAGAAAGTTAGAGAGATATGGAAATGTCTGTTGAAAGCAGTGTATACTGTCAACCTCCACCCACAGAGAGGAGACTGGCAGAAGAATTAGTTGGCCGACCTGCTGGGCATCATCACATACTTTGCCCGACACTTTGTCTTGTACATGTGCAAGGCTTTGGCACCCACTGAAGCCTGTCTTGGGTGCTCATCGACCTCTGCCCAATGCTATCGTGCAGATAACGAATACGAACAGACGAATAAGAAAGCAGTAGCATACTCGTGGTGCGTGTGAGCAGCAAGCAGAATCTTTCGTCACTGGATATACAGCGGCTCTCATCTGATGTATCGATTCTTTTGACTTCCCATATCGCATCTATCCTGGACGAAACGCCAGGCCCATGGCAGCTGAGCCCAGCCGGCCTGTAAACTCACGTCAGTTCGCTTCTGGAAGACAGGGAACAAGGGTGTATTAGACACCACGTCAACCAATGCCAAGCAGTCAGTCCAAACTATGTGATACGCACAGACGCAAAAGGATTCAATGGCCTGTTGCTTTAGAAAGCACACACCAGTAGTACCTGTACTTGCTGACTCGGTTCTCCGCAACTTTGCGGGAGAGCCTGACTGGATGTTCTGGGCGGGTGGCGGGCAGATCGTGACCATGGCCGGCGGCTATACTCAGCCTCATGCATGAGACAGCCGGGTGCCAGATTTGGAGAGGGGGAACATTGGCAAGTCTTGTTCTGACGGCACTGGTCATCGGCGATTGAGCGCATGAGGTCGGGTTTTTGCAAACACGGCACGATGGTGTGGCAGCTTGGTTGGACCAAGACACCAGATGCCACATTGCAATTATTGGCAGAGACATAGAGGCGAGGCAGCAGAAAAAGAAAAGGGAGTCACCTGGTGCAGGGCATTGGCTGCTGCTGCTTCGTACGAGGGGGGCCTGGCCAGAGTAGCGCCCGAAATATTTCGGGATTTTGCCCTTCCCTTTCAGCCTGGAAGCTGGGCAGACCAGGATGCACACGCAGACCGGGCAGGGAAGAAAAAAAAAAATCTCGCAAAAGAGACATTTTCTGTCTCGGCTGCCTCCAGTTCCGAGCCAGGATTCGATTTCGGTCTCTGGGGGCTGTACTTTGTGCTTTGTAGTCATTTCGGATGGGACATGGACAAAGTTGAATATGGAACATGAACATGAAGTCATCGCAAAATCCACCAGCTCGGTTTTGCTGCCCGAAACTCGGAGCGGCGGATCTACTGCGGGCACGGGAGCCTCAAGGCTAAAGGGCAAAAGGGCTAGCGGGCCAGATACAGTGATGACCAGCGGGGGGAGCGGCGCGTTCCATGAAGCTCCAGCGCTGTTCTGGCGCTGACATTAGCGGAGAGGTTAAAACTCTAGGGGTCCAGTCTATCATGTTACAGTGCACTACAGTACAGTAGAAACGAGCCGGTGCGAATATGCTCCAGAGCTGCATTGTCTTGCCGCTGAGAAATATTGACTTGTAGGAATGGATGGATTCATTTTTTGTATTGACAACTCATAGTGCAGCGCATTACAGCGCATCGCAGCGCATCGCATCGCAGCGCGTAAGTAACATCATCCGCTGCAGCGTCTAGTGCGTTTTTCTGGTCTCAGTCAGTCATTTGCCGTACGCCGCTCGTCGAGCTCAGCTGCCATCCCTCGCGGCACAAGCGACCAGGGGGGCGTCATCCATGTGCGCATAATGAGCACTTTGTGTGCGCATCTTTGTGTGGGTGCCCTCCACTAGTTCAAGCCGTCCCTCGATTCTAGGATTCGGCTCTTTAACTCGTATACACACACCATTCGCTCATATGCACCCCTTCAGGCTAAACACCGGGAGACAACAAATGAGAGAACAAGACCTGGACAAAAGAGGAAAAATCACTGCGAGAACGAGAACGAGCTACCAAAGCCAAGACGAGGCTGCGCACACCGCTTTTTCGCAATGAACAGCTCCAAGTGCAATCGAGCCGCGTCGCGTCGTGTCGCGTCAACAGGAGTCGAGTCGAGCCAATTACAATACGCACACTCCCTCCTCTGGCTGTGGGTGTGCGATTCTCCCGACAAATGGGCAAAACCATCGGCAGCCAACCGGATCATCGACCCCGAGACCAAAATATGGAGCAGCAGGAAGACGCAGCACTACCAAGGAAGAGACAAGAGGAGCATGCGGGTACATATGGCGCCAGCCAGAAAAGCCAGCGCTTCGAGGTACTCCGAGGGTATTGCTAGTCTCCACGAGCTGAGGCCAGGGTTCTATGCATGTCCCAGACAGATGATGCTCCTTGGTTGAGCGTCCCGAGTACCCGTTACAACCATCAGTACCTACTTACACGTACTCGTACTTGGGCATCTGGCGCAAGGATGTTCATCTCACGAGACGGATCGGTAATTCTCCGTGTTCACGCTGAGCTTGATGCCGGTAGATTGCAAGATTAACGAGTCGGAATCCAGATGGTCGCTCTCAATGCCCTGGATTTCCATCTCCTCTATACGGCCACATACCGGGCAGCAGAAAGAGAGAAAGAGACAGAACCAGAAACCACATTGGACAACTGCGCAGCGGCAGAGACATCAGGTCATTTGGCACATGCAATCCATGCTAGCATGTCTCAGCACACAACAAGAGAGATCATCCATATGCAAGGGGCCGCGAAATACCATCAGCTAGCCTGCTTTGGCTGCCTACCTGCATGGCTTGAACATCATCGAGTCTTACTGTTGGCCGCCATCGACTGCAGACACCAGCGCAAGCTCGTGCGTTGAGATGGAATAACTTGGAAACCATCAACTGTTGACTCTCTCTCTTGCTGTTCGCTTGCATAGTTCTCTTTTATACTGCAAATGCATGCATGAGCAATTCAGCGGCTATCATCTCGATTCAGCTATAAATGGCCGCCTCTCCCAGATTCTACTTCATCTCCGTCTGCCATCGCTTTCAAGTCTTGTTCCCAATTCGTTTTCTCTTGAATTCAACTTGCTGCATCCCTACATAACGTCTACGAGTACTGCGATTTTCCAAACTCTGCCAACTCCAGCCAGCCAACCAGCTACGCAAAGGACCCTTCTATGCCCCATCATGTCGTCAGTTGTAAGTGATCACCCCTTCTTGATAACTTCTTCTCGACACACGCTAACCCCTTCAGCTTCCCAAGGGCGAACGCTTTATGGAGCGTGGAACTTCCATTCCTCGCCTCGTCAAGGACAATGGATACTGCCTCACCTGTCGCCGCTTGGGGAAGAGATGTGACGTGAACATACCCATATGCAAAACTTGTCGAGAGAACAATCTTGAGTGCATTCAACCAATCAGCGCTCATCCAATCAGCGCATATGCGGGAGAAGAGGACTGTGCCAGAAAGCGTCGAAAGACTAGCGCTGAATCAGACCAGGTGTCCTGGGTTGATATAGGACCAGAGCCTGATTCTGGGGTTCCGCTGGAGCCTGCTGCCGGGTCCGAGGCGGGCGAGTCCAAGGGTGACGGGTCTAAGGCTGGCGGGCCTGAGGCTGAGGAATCCGAGGCTGACGAGTTCGAGGCTGACGAGTTCGAGGCTGAAGAGATCGAGGTTGACGAGTTCGACTTTGACGAGTTCGAGGTTGGCGAGTCCGATGCTGGCGAGTCCGATGCTGGCGAGTCCGATGCTGGCGAGTCCGATGCTGGCGAGTCCGATGCTGGCGAGTCCGATGCTGGCGAGTCCAATGCTGGCGAGTCTGAGAGTGACGAGACTGAGACTGATGAGTCCGAGTCCGAGTCCGAGTCCGAGGCTGAAACCGAGATCTTGATCCCATCGGCGCGTAGCCCTCAACCCGGATCTGCTATCCAGCTGCAGACGCGGCAGGATGAAAATGAGGAGAATGTGGCCTTTGGGCCTCTGCAGAGCGTGTTCGTCAGAGCTTCTTCCCGACGGATTACTCGAGCTCAACAGAGTCTGCTACGCACGACTCTAGGCCATATTGGACCCCGCGTGCTCCTCCCCATGGGCCCATTGAATGACCCAGATCATGACTATGCTGTCTATTACGATTATCAATATGACGTCGACTCTGGTGAAACCATCACAACCAGAAAGCGAAGTCATACCCTCTATACCTTGGAAACGATGTCTCGTACCTCTACTGTATACGCGGTCAAGAATACTTGGACCGAAGAGGGAGAGGCCCCCCTGAAGGCTCGTCTCCGTGATTTCATCCACTATATGAAAGAGTGCCATTTGTCACACGCACCATCCGATGCTCTACCACTTGCATTTTTGCCAGCATGTGAGCCCACCACAGCCGAGACGCTCAAATACTATATTCTGCGACCAATCAACCAGGGAACGAGCCATTTGGCAGATATAAACCCTCCTCACCCCAAGGTCATTGGACTGGCATACTCCAACCCTCTCGTCCTGCAGCTCATCATCGCCGAGAGGGTCAATCACCGCGAGGTATCTTCTGCCATGCTGCCGACGGGCGAGAGCGCTGAACGCTTCCATCGTGCCAATATTGCCGCGTTTGAATCCAAGATTCAAAGCTATCTGGATGGAAATGAAGAAGATATGCTGCCATTGACTGTGGGAAGCATCATCATCTCCCTTACGGAGGTTAGTTCCTGTCTCGCCATCTCTTCCCTCTCCCTGAATCAGCTTCTCCCCATCACCCCGCTCCCTGAAGTGAAAATATAACCGGACTGATCAAGTCTAACATCTTCTTCAAATAGACCGCCCGACTAGACAATCGTGGCCAAGCTCACAATTATCCGACAGCAGCCAAAAACATTTTGAAAATGCTCACCACCCTTCCCCACGAGGAGATTTGCAAAAACCTCCCTGACATCTTTGTCGAGCACTTCTTGCACACTTCCATGTTTGCTTGCCTCGCAGCCGATGTTTCTAGAGCACATATGATACCATTTACGAGCCCTGAATTTCGAACCGCCGCAGTGGACTTGGCCTATAGTGAGTATCGGGGTAAGCTCGGCGGAAACTGCCTTCCGATAATGGTTTTTATACTCAATACATTTGATCTGGGTATGAAGATGCGACCTTATATAGACGACTCGGGTGCCCCAAAACCCGGCCCATCAGTTGGCCATCAGCCAGACCACTATATGTACTTTGGCTCCATTTATGAGCTTCTCATGGCTTTTAACCCCGTAACGGACATGAGCGGCAAAGACTTCGAAGCGAGCATCATTTGGAGGAATGCCGCCCTGCTGTACCTATGGAGCCTCCTGGAATGGCCGTTGATTACGAGATCCCAAAGGATTTTTCATATCAATGCACGCGACACTTTTCGGATCGCGCTCCGGCGGTTGGCGGATACCCCCATGGATAGCAACGTGAACAAAACCCTTTGCTGGCCCTTGATCGTCCTCGGGTGCCATGCGGAAAGCAAAGAGGACAGAGAACTTATAGAACGCCGCCTCATCTACATCTCAACCCATTTCAAGGTTGGCAACGCACTCGAGACTCTGCACGTACTGCGTCATGTCTGGACGCTGCCTATGGCGAGACGAAGCCCCTGGCTACTGCACAAGTCTATTCAGGAGACCAGATGCTGGGGGAATCTTGATACTAACATCTTTCTCTAATGATTGGTAAAGTTTCTCCCTTGCTCGCTTTCTCTTCTCTCCCTCATCACTCTTCTGTCTTTCACTCTGTCGTTTACTCTGTCGTTTACTCTGTCTTTCATTTTTCCCTTTCCCTGTTTCTTTCTTTCTCTTCCCTGTTTCTTTCTTTCTTTTCCCTGTTTCTTTCTTTCTTTCTTTCCTCTGTTTCTTTCTTTCTTTTCTCTGTTTCTTTTTTTCTTTTCTCTCTTACTTTCTCTTCTTTCCCTCTTTCTCTTTCTTCTTTCTCTTCTTCCTCTCTTTAAGGTTCATTTTCTAGTCATCTCTTCAAGCTTGGTCCTTCGGTCTCTGTTTTCTTCTGCACTAACTGTCTTCTCTCCTTGGCTTCGCTTTCGGTTTGTCAATACGTTGTATCTAGCCTTCACCTTCATTTCGTTTCTGGTCGTCTAAAGGACATTGTTTGTGCATGGATGAATGGGTAATCTTGGTCTATATATCTCTTTCAAAAAGACAGAAAATACAAAAATAAAAAGCAAATGTGTCTATTCGTGTTAAATCATTCCAGGCTTTACTCTTCCCCAGCCTTCCATTTCCCGCTGTCGAGGAAGAACTCCATAATCCTGCTAGACAAAAACACTCCGTCGTGCGGACGGTCGACACGCTTGATGGCGTCCTGGAATGCCTCCTCGTCAAACGCGTTGCCGTGCTCGTGCTCCACATTGAGAAGCTCGTCGTTGATGGGCCTGTCAAATTCAGGATGTCCTTGGAAAGAAAGCAGTCGCCCGGGCTTGTAGAGAATCTGTATGGGGCATTTCGTGCTAGATCCGAGGTTTGTGAGTCCAGAGGGAACAGTGAGGACGGCATCGCGATGCATCTGATGCAGCTCCTATAAGACAGCGTCAATCCCTGAAAGAAATAGTCAAATTTCCAATTAGGTGAATCTCACCAGCGATGAGAGCCCGAGGAATTTCTGGCCCTGCTCGTTCAGAGCAATGTTCTCGACGGAAAGCTCCCATCCGCCCGGATTGTGGTTGACGTCGGCTCCAAGCGCGCGACCGATGATTTGGTGGCCGAAGCAAATGCCGACCACTTTTCTGTCTGTAGATTCCAAGACGTGCCTGACATAGTCGGCCAGAGCCACGATCCACGGATCTTGGTCAAACGCGGTGCTGTCTGACATGGAACCTTTGTCAGCCATGTGTAGATGCCGCAAGAATAGAATAGAGACAAACTTACAGCTTCCCGTCAAGACGATTGCGTCTACATCCTCAATCCGGGGGTATTTGCCGTTGATCACGTCCCACTTGCTCACTTGGAGCTGCACATTGGCTGCCTCATCGCCCAAGTTTTTGAGACCGAGCGTAAAGAGATCTTGGAAGATGTCGCCGTACGAGCCGCGAGAGGCCTTGGCCTTGGGCAACGTCGTTTCGCATTCAAGAATGGCCAATCGCAGTACTCGAGACATTTTGGTCCGTGTTTACTCCGATTTTACTCCGGTTTCGCCGTGATGCTCATACACTCATCTGTATGACTTTAGGGATGGGTTCATGTATATATAGATGCCTCCTGGATAACAATCCCCTTTGCTTGATAGCGGGAAATCCCCAGCTTCAATTAGATAATAAATAAAACGTAACAAGATCCCAACCCGCAATTCTGTTAATAATGAGGGCAGTCATGTGGTGTTCCTGCTAGTTCGCTGCCATCGTGGATCTTGGGCCGCCATTATCGTGCAGCCCGCTGGCACCGATGGGGCCGCTACCAATCAACGGCGCCCTTTTTATTCTCAAAGTAGAAGTTTAAATGCTTGTTTCGCATGTACTTGGCGATAAGGAAAAGGGCGCGTGCTTCCAAATCTTTACCAACATTCCAAATCTTGGGCGATGAATGGAGGAAATAATAACCGATCTTGGCTCAATGGTTCTGCCACAGGTATCCTGGCAACTGGGTAAGGTACTGCCGATGTTGTACTGATTGTTAGGTAATGCCCAGGCACGTGGAGATTAGCACAAGCGAGCAGACCTGACAACACCAGACAGTTCAACACAGATTCACCATGCGCATGGGTAGTTGCATAAGAAGGAATCATCAATTCGTTTCTCGGTTTATCTACAAGTCTGGGTACTGTCAACACATCAACCGCTCCATATCTACCCAAAAAAAAATCGGCGAATCGGAAGAACAAGTCGACATCACCGAGACATGACCACGCGAAATCTAGTGGGCGACGGCGACGGCGAAAGCGGCAAAGTTGCCGTTGACGAGGGTGGCAGCAGTGTCGCGGTCGTATGCGGCATAGGGGATGGCGCAGTCGGCAGTGCTGAGAGGCACAATGTCAGTAACTTTGTCTTACATCTTCTTTTCTTCCTTTGGTGAGGGTCCGTTGACTTACTTGTAGAGAACAACAGCGTGGCCCTCGGCGACCTTGATGGACTGTACAAGAGGGCTGGGTGAAGATTCTTGTTAGCTACACGGATCAAAAAGCAACAACGGAGCATTAGACAAAGCTTACAAGTCGGCAACAGCGGTGCACGATCCAAGAACATCATCAGGGCCGCTGATGGTGTAGGTGGCGCCCTCGAAGTTGGTGTTGGAGAAGAGAGTGGCCTGTTGCGACAAATCAAGCGTCAGTCAGTGTCTGTCTCACAGTCTCGAGATGGCAAAGGCCAGCCAACACTTACCACATCCTGAGCGGCAACAATGCCGGCAAAGACCAGAGAGAGGACGCTGGAGAACTGCATGTTTGCGGTGGGGGGTTGTTTTGGTTGGTTGGAAGAGTGTTGAGTAGAGTGTTGCTTGCTGTTGATGCTGCTGCTTGTTGTGAAATGATTTTTCAAGCAGAGGGGACGATTCCCAACCTTTATATACTTGTAAGTTGCCTCCCGAATTATTTCCCGAGTTACCTCAACAAAAGATCGGCAATGTCAACAAGTTTGACCTACCACTTTGTACAAGGATCATTTCAGCCTTCGCATATACGGGTTACATAGAGACAGCGGTATGCTTACACGTACGGATGCATACAGATGAGATCCAGCATCGGGGACAAATCAGCCAGTCTGGTGCCAGAGTACGACGACGACCTCCTTATTCCAACCTAGATCAAGAATACCTTCATCTTGAATGTGCGGGCGGATTCCAAACAGGAAGGCTGGAGAATGATCTCACAAAAGAGGCCATTGATGAGTCCTGATGAGCATGGTTAGGGGCCTTGGCTCACATACATCACACCTCGTAAAGGGTACAGGTACACAACCAGTTGCTGAGAGAATGCTACACAGCAATGCATAAACAACAGACTGACTAATTTGTCTGCATGCCTGATGATCATTCCCACATACTACTAATATACCCAAAACCATGTGTCTCTGCATGAGAAATACGGAATGACGGCAGGGATGCGAGCTAGTGACCTACCAAAATAAGCTTGATCTTGACACGATCCATGACTTGGAACAATCCCACCTTTGGATTATGTTATCAACAGGCAACAGTGAGGAATAACTGATTAGTATTCACGTGCGCATGGATATAAATAACAGTGTCGAATGCATCTCTAGTTGGATAAGCGCCCGGTAAGAGCATGCTTGTTCCTGAAAGGACGCTGTAGCCTTACAGTGTCTTTAGATCGCGTCGGCCGGGAGAAAAGCCGATCACCAGGTTTTTTTAAAAAAAAAAAAAAAAAAAAAAAAAAAAAAGAGGCTGACAGTCGCAAAGTGGGACTGCGGGTTACGACGAAGGAAAGAGAGCGGAAAGTGGGACGGTTAGCTGCGATGAATGAGAGAGAGCATTTTAAGCACGGGGTTGTACGAAGAAACAAGGCTTTGAACCTGGGTTGCTGGTGTTTTGATTCCGGGGGAGGCTGAACATGGACCCCGCCACATCTGTGTTGATTGATCATTCGATGAGGGCAAGGAATATGGGCTCTGATTGTCTTGATCTATTAGATGCACGTCGAAGATGAATAAACTCTCCATCTGTTCAGCCGACTGCAGCACAGCTTCGAGACAGAAAATATGCTCATAAGCTTGCCTACCCGCTGGAGGGTAGCATCTTTTCGGGTTATTCCCTTGTCGGTCGGGATATTGTCATGCCTCCTGCTTGAACCAGATGCGTAAGAAAATAGTATACATGTTGAAACCACCGAGGCTACATCACACGGAGCCGGCGATTGGAATGATGCCGCCTGTATGCGCTGGATAATTCGATGCAGGAATACACAGACAGAGTGTGATATGAGAGTTGATGCAATGGCTCTCTCATGTACGACAGTCTACGCACATACTCTTCCCTCTAGTAAAGCAATATGAATACATATCACAGATGAACTGGAATACCAGACAACGATGCCTCTATGTTCTCCAAACCAAGTCAAGCCGAGTTATTGACTCAATATCGTATCGTCTCATCATCAATCACACCTTGAACAAAATACTACTGTATCACTCCACGTTGACAGGTGGAATACGAATAGCCGTCTCAAATTGATAGCCTACCCGGGACACGGAATTTTGCAATTCATCATAATCTCCGATTCTGAGCCCCACAGCCAAGAGCCAGATTTTGTGCGTGACCGATTTCTTTTTCTTGGTCGCCTTTTTTTTTTCGACATGCCCTCTTGGCTAAGTTGGTGGGGATCATCGCCAATTCTGCCGGCCAAATCGCTGGGCGGTCAAAAAAAAGTTGGCTCACCGCCCGCTGAGCTCCTGCTTGCTTCCTATAAAACTTCACGTACCTGGCCGTTTGTTTTATTTTTTTCTTCTTTTCTTCTTTACGTCGACAATACTTCAGTATGTGCACCCCTAACTGTGATTGCCCGCCCTGTCCAAAAACCCGGCTTCTAACGTCTGCTTTTTCTTTCTACAGGAGAATCATTTCTATAGTATTCGTCTCTTGCTTTGGTTCCCAAAAGAGCCATCGAATCCACCCTGGTTGATGATTGTATATCCTCAGCACCCAAGAGTGAAAATTTTTCTGGTCCTCTCGATCTGTCTGCAAGGATGGCGGCGTTGCCTTGCGCAATTGCTGTATAGAGAGTTGTTTTCTTCTTGATGATCTCGACCCTGTTCGTGGTCTGCCTTTGGGCGCATGGGCAGGGTGGGTGTTGATGGACGTCTGACAGGCTTTTTCTTTCTTTTTTTCATTGCAGATTGGGGCTTGCCCTGGGTGTGAAGAAGAATCGAACCGCGTGATTCCTATGGATTGGCTTGTTGGAAAAATTTTCCTGGTGGTGGAGTGGAAAATTTCTCTTGCTTCGTCGATGCTCTTAGCAAGGCGGGGCACAAAATTTTCCATGCTTCACCCAACATTGTCTCTTTTGTTTCTTGTGTACTTGTCATATGCTATCCATCAATTCTTCGGCTATTCTTCTTGAAGCATATCTCGCTGTTTCATCAGTGCCTTTTGCGCTACGACAATGATGGCTGAACATAGCGGATCATGAGCGGCTCCAACTCGCCATGTCCACTTCCACAACGCCTTGCCACGACAAGCTAACGCAAGAGGAGCATATGCTGGAGGCCCTTCACCTACTGTCACCAATATTTACAACAGGTTCACACTCATAAGTTAGAAGATGAAACGAGGACTCGACATCCTTCAAATTGCAGTGTTCACCTGACGATATCCGCGAATCACCTGGCTGCTACAGGCTCTATCAGTGCAACCGTCTTGGAAACTCACCGCGCTGTCTATACATATCAAGGTAACATGTGATCTCAAGCGCAGCTTCATCAATTATATTGCATTACATTATAAATATACTAATATTCGCCCGTTACACGTTATGATAGCCTGTCCTCTACAGCATAGCAATCGCACCAATCACGGCTCCGGCAACAGCCATCAATGAACCACCAATGGCATTACCAGCGTTGTGAGTCGTCAATGGCGCTGCCGAAGTAGAGGTGCTCGTTCCGTTCGAAGCAGCGTGGGTAGATTGGCTCTTGGTGGAGAGAGTTGCCGGGCTGGTGATCGGAGCCTTGACCGACGTGGAAGCCGAAGTTGTGACAGGACCGGCGGTCGTCACTGAGCTCGAGGGAGCATCCGACGCGGTGGTTGACTCGACGGCACTCGTTTCACTGGCCGGCTTCTCAGTGGATCTTTGAGCCTCGGAGGTTGAAGGAGCGCTTGTGGTTTCAGCTTCGCTGGTAACTTTGGTCTCTTCGACAGCAGTCGTCGAAGCAGCCGACTGAATAGCACTCGAAGGCTTCCAGCAAGAGAGGATAGAGATCGGGGCGACGGAGAGCGTGCCCGAGTAAGCAGGACAGCCTGGGACGTCGGTCTTGATAGGAGCTCGGCCACCGCCACAGTCCAATGGGTCACAGACCTGGCCGTTATTCGGATCGAACCAGTGGACAATTCCATCTTGGCAGCTCGTGAAGCTATGTGTCTCGCAGGCACTGAAGACGACGTTGGCGCCCACAAGAAGGGAAAAGAGAGAAGTAGCGAGTGACTGACGCATTTTGATGGTCTGGATGAGGTCTCACGATGAGTATGAACGAATGACTTGATTTGATCAGAACCAGGGGCTAACATTGAGTGGCAGAGTCAGGCCTATATACATCGTCTTCCGCCTATTAATCCTCCCTCCGCATTTGCATGACGGGCCATTTAGCCTGGCTCATTGCTTGTGGCGATGAAAGCGCGTTTTAATTTCCCGATCCTTGATTTTCCTCCCATCTTGGGGCTAGACGCGGGATATAGTCAGGCCACTAGTCCATTCAGAAACAAGAAGGATCTTCAACCTGGTTATTGACAGCACGCGCCAACAGACAAATTTCTGCGTGCATTGATCAATTGGCATCCCGCAATTCATGGCCTAGTTTCCTGTCGAAGTGCGTGAGTCACCATCGAAGGATTGTTCGTTTGCATTGTTGGTTGAAATAGAGTCGCATGGTTCAAGGTCACTTTTTGGTGATTCCATTGCTAACTAAATTTGCATTATAGTTTTGGGATCATACGGGGCAAGGTACAAAAGAAAGTGCTCAAGGGCTGGCTGCATACAGTCTATATAACAGGGAGGCTTCTGGTTATGCGTTAGAGATATCATTCCTCCTCCGTTTCCAGAAAGGCCTTTCGGTTTCATTGTTTGACCATCCAGTAGCACGCTTGCTTCCCTGCTTGCTCTCCCGCTCTTTTTTGTGTCTCTTTATCACGTCGTCAATTAAGACTAGTTTCCTGGATTTGCCGGACCCCCAACGAAATGCCGCAATGAGAACGACGGAAATCACTACAGCAGAAATCACAACTAGGTTCGACCACATTAGCTTCCGATCGTGAGTAGATTTCCAAGGGTGGAAATAAACAAGCTTACACATATACATAATCTGCTCTCCGAGACTCATCCACTCATCACCGGTCGACTTTTTGTTATTCATTCCAAAGAGACCGCTGAAAAATCCAAGCGGGAGCTAGAAAACATGGCTTAGCTGATGTTATTTTAAGGACACTCGCACTCCACTTACAAAGAAGATAGTGACGATGGTAAATGCCATGATGGCTCGGCCCTGTTTAATGGTTTCATCCGCCCGTTCAAGCGCAGTCCTGGCTTCAACAATACTAGCCTCTTGCTGTTTAAGCGATAATAGTGCTTGGAGCTAAATGGAATTTGAGCATAGTGAAGGTTGGGCAGCGGAGTCTTGATGATTGTGCCTACCTGATCGTTTGTGCGAGTTACAGCTTTTTGAAGATCCTCAATTTCAGCGGCTCGATTTGTTATTATCTCGACCAAATTGTCCACTTCCTCCATATCTATGTTTGTAACATTGTACTTAGTCTTTGGATATTTAGCCTTATCATGTCGGCTCTTCATGTGCTTGCGCAGGTCAGCCGCAACGATTAATTGCTGCTTATAGATGTGCTCCACTTCGGCAGAATAGTCAGTTGAGACAACCTGGTTTAAAGGAAATGTCAATTCGAAAGAGCACTTACTGATGTTTAATTCTTCTGTAATATCCTGGGCTTCTTTTAGCAAGATGCCTTCTGGATTAATATTCAGATATTTGAACGATTCCTCGGCACGGGTCTTGTGCTTCTCTGGGTTGGGATCAAGCCATTCGAGCCATCTTTTGACAGGGTTCATATGCTTCTCCTCTTTCTTCTTAAACGACGAATGAAGACTGACGTTGGCCCAAAAAAGGCTATAGGCCGATGTAGTACTATTAGCCTATTGCAATCAGCTTCAGTATATATTTCTTTTCTTTTTGAGAATGAATGCAAATAATACGCACTACATTCCCAATGGCTTGAGCAAACAGATCCATCACCTCTGGTCGATCATCTGTTGGCTGTGTCCGGTCAAAGAAAACCTTTGAACATTGATCGATGATCAGAGTGGCTTTAGGTCTGTTAGAAAGAGGCATTTAATTTTAAAAGGGCGTTACTTGCCAAGATGATAAATGGATCGAATGCGCTTCCTCTTTCTAAGTATCTGTCGAAGGCTCTTATGAACACCTGAAGAATCAGGCTTATTTCTTCCCCAACGTCGAGGAAAAGAGGTAATAATTGTATCTAGTATGTTGTCAGCCAAGACAAGTCTTCCAATCTATCATGTAAGGGGAGTTTCACCTTCTCCAAGTATCCACATCCACAGCTGGTCGACCATGACAACTCGAGTGACTCCAACCAATTTCATTATCTTCTTCTTCTTAGCTGTATCTGAAGAACTAGTACTTCCAAATGTCGTGCCAATGGTCGGCGCAATGGCGGTATTTTGTGTAGACTCATTAAACGGATCTCGCTGGGACGTTATAGTACCGCTAGTGGAGCTCGTGTCATCCAATTCTTCTGAATGATGCTTCTGTTTCCTCGCTCTTGTTTGTCGATATACTACCTGATCTGTATCTCTGGCAGTTGTGTCTTCCACCGTTGAGAAAAACGACTGATCCAACGTTCGGCGAATGTGTAATGGAGGTTCCCATTTAACCCCCGAAGGGCCATCTTGCTCTGGCTCGGAAAAGCTCTGTCGAAGTAACCGCTCGTCTGCTTCATAGTCCATGGCATCCCAGATTTGTGCAATATCATAGAGATACAGTCCAATTTTACTTGGAATGAGCATTCGATTAAACTTTGGGCGAAGACAAGGTGCTTTAACCCCTGCAAGCTCGATAAAGCGGGAGTTCAGAGAAGCCCTATTGTCCTCAACAACCTCCTGGACTATTTGTGTCATTTTTGCTCGTCTTCGATTTGTTTCCCAATGTAGATATGGGAGCTGTTGTGCGAAACTTAGCATTAGCATCTATAGTAGCTATCGAACGGAGAAGAACTTACAAAGACGGCGATATTTGACGGAGCGCTATGATCCGTGTGGTCTTCTATGTCGGGTGGGTTAATATTTGCATATTCGGCCACTCTCTGGAACAACCAACCTGAAATGTGGGCGCATCGAGGCCTCATATACCGCAAGTGAATTAAGTCTTTCCCAATCCCAGCACCATGCAATTGCCCTCGCCAGTACTCGCGAGACAGCAGTTGACTTTTGAAATCAGTTGCTTCCATTGTTTGATCATCTTCGTCTTGGGGTTCTCCGTCATTGCTATTCACATTATGGTATTTTTCTAATGCCGTCTTTCATACACATATATTAACTAACCGGCTTCGATTTGACGACAGCATGGCACTTACCTCTATCCACTCCATATGGTTTGCTGGGAAATGAAAGTACTTAATTTTTTTCTCGTCGCTTTTGAAGAGGTTGAGGCTGTTGGGAGTGTTGGATAGCACGTAACTCATCTTCAATTTTTGGTTGGGGAATTCCCCTGAGGATGAGCCGTCGTCGACGTCCGCACACTGCTTACCTTGCCATTTCTTGTCGTCTTCTTTTTCGAAATACATGACGCCAGCTTTGAACTCCTCCACAGGCTCGTTCAATCCACTCAATGTCAGATTCGTTGGGGGATTGTCGCCTTCTGCTTCTTGTTCTGCATGGGCAATACTCATTTTGTGATCGAAAATACGTCGTGCCGTAGCAGTCTCCTTTAAATGTGGAATCAAAGCTTTTCGCGATTCCGCGACATTTCTAAAAAGCTTCGACTTCGACTCGTTACCATTAAATCTCCCTCTAATCTTGCTAATTCGTCTTTTTTCCTCTTCTATAATCTTCTTAATTCGGCTCTGCTCTTCCGTCATAGGGCCATATATTTCGGCGCGCTTATCGAATCTCAATCTAGCATAGTCGCGGAAGGCATCGCCCTTTGACGTTTGCCTTCTTGACAAGGGAGGATGCGCGTTATCTGGTGCCATGATGTAAGAGTAGAAGCTGGGATATTGATGTAGCTCTCAATTGCAGCACAGAGAATGAAGAATATGCAGTAAATACAGACTGGTACAGCGTATAGTCTGAGGCGGCCTGGGATAAATACGGCCTTTACTCTTTCGGCTCTTGTGGTACTTATACAGAATTTCGAAATATTGCTCAGTATAAAATGGATAAATTTGCGGCTGGCTGTATCATCCGAAGTGCATCAAGAGTGGTGTAGGGCCATGTGCTGCCATAGGCCAAGGCTGAGCGTTATCACGGCCCTGACCCCTGCCCATTGGAGCCAAATATGAGCGTTGCCAGCGTGGACGAGACAGGTAATCTATTCTACCCCTCTCCCACGCCCAAAGAAGACAATGGGGGAAGAGGTCCGTCAGTTTGGCATAAAATTGTTACCGAAACATGGATTGAAAGCTCAGCCAGCCCCCAACCTCCGCTCTTTGCTCACCGAAGCGGGCTGTGAATGGCCAAGATAGATGCATATTGTACACGTACTGAGGTGTCGGGATTAGATCGCCACTGTCAAGCATTGCGGGCAAGGCTGGCTTGGCAGATACGGTCCGATCTGACGGTGGGAGAGGGTGTAATGGTGAGGCTGTATATCGTAAAGGATGCGGAGGCTCTTTTGTTCAGCCCTTGCATTGGTAAGCATTGTCACATGGCAACCTGCCTGCATTATGCCGGGGAAAATACCTAGTATTTTAGCAATGCTTAGCGACGTCCTGTGAGAAATGCCAGTTCCGCTGTGGGTTTTCAGATGAAAAACAAGGCAAGAGACTGTACCTGTTGAGGGGTGGAGGTTAGGTACCAAGCCGGAGATGCAAAAGCTCGGAGTTTGGCTACATGTGGTCACTCCCCTCATCGCTGACGTCTTTACGTACCAAAGTACCTAAAATTCGGGCTTTTGTATACCGACGTGCCAATTCAGAAATAAAAAAAAATCGTCCAAATTTATTATCACCTGTAAGATAGGTAGATAAGAGGATTCGTGACCACATTGGCGCCAAATTGATCTTGAAGGGATGTTGGCACTGTAGTGGGAGAACTTTTGTTCTGTGGGCAAAGATTTGATACGTGAATTCCATCCAAGATAGGTCGGGATCAACATCTATTTTTCCTTTGAGAAAATGCCACCAGATTAAGCTTGAAGCTAAATTAAATACATTATCCATCATATATTATTTGCCTGCTTCACACAGTACCAATGCTTGAGAGATGTCGTTGAGGCGAAATTTTGAGAAGAGCGCATGGTGTATAAGGCAAATATGGACGATGACCTTCAACAAACAAGGACGCCTCGTGCGCCCGGTTAGCTCAATCGGTAGAGCGTGAGACTCTTATGAGGAACACGTTCTGAATGTAATCTCAAGGTTGCGGGTTCGACCCCCGCATCGGGCTCTTCCTATATAAATAATATTGAGACAACGAGCGTCCATTTTTTTTTGCGTTCCTGCTGAATTTTTTTTTTTTTTTTTTTAAACTTTTGGTGGAGTTTTGTGGTTTGGGCCGAGTCATGCGCTAAACTCAATCTCGCAGCCCAATGAATCCCAGTGGACCAGTATTTCCCAACCAATCATCTCGCGCCACTGTGGACGAAAAGGGCCATGGCGTCTTTCCATCAAGATTGATCCCTTGATGCGCTTCCATTTTGCTTCCATGTCAAGGTGCTTCGTTTTTATGTAGAGAGCAGTGGTATGGCGGAGGATTTCTTGCATAAGAAGCTGTCGTTTGTACTTTGAAATATGCTCATCTGTTCATGGATTCCTACTCGGTAAAGAGGTAATGCCGGGCAGTACGCGATGACAAGTGACTTGCACCATCTTCGCTGGTGGGTGTTTCATCCACGCCAGATCAATCTTGCACCGAAATCCACAACGACGTCTTTTCTTTCCTTGACTCACGATTCGATCGAGATACCTACTTTGAAATTTACTCTTGTACATGTGCACCTGCAGCAGAATCCCAGTGCCTCCTTCCTTTGTTCAGAATCACGTGTAGTCACCTGACGCACAGACTGATATCCTGCTTCCTTTACTTTGCACTTCCCTTCGACATTCTCCTCTTTGCCTTGCACCAATCCATATGCTCTTCCATATTACATCCCAATTCTCGCATTGCGAGATGCTGGAATCGGTATCTTGTCTGTCATGGCCAACTACGCTTCTATACCACACCCCCTTTTCTCATTCAGCCTTAAAATGTCGCCCTTGCGAGTCTTGACAGATTTGTTCGAAGGCAGCCATCTTTGGGTCTCTAGCCCTTTTTCAAGACAAGGAAAATTATCTGGTCCTTCCAGAATTGTGAGTCCAGATCTCTACCGTGGATCTATTCAGAAAGCATCTAACAGTAGACCTCCAGGAGCAGCGTCTGGACATTTTTCAGAGCATGATCAACAGAGAACAAATTTCCTCTCCTCAGCCTTGCCATCGATCTCTTAACACGTGATATCTTGACAAGGCTGAGTCTGCCTCTATAATTCGTCCTCTCGCAGGATTAACCCGATGGGGTCCTCAAAGCCTGTCGTGCTGAAACGCTCTGCGCTGTATGCTTCTTTCGTTCCTGGCACACTGGTAGGTAATTGTGTCCCCCCCATGAAGCAGGTTTTGAAAAGACATGATGGGGGAACTTTGAAAACAACGACTGACAAGGGATAGCATCTGAAAAAAAAAAAAAAACCTCTTGAAGGTCCCTTTCGCCCTACAACAAGAGGGCAACCCGCTTCTTCTCTGCTCCATCTGTACTCATTTTGTACAGTCGCTTATTCAAACCTACTTTGTGGATATTTTGTTGCATTATCGATGGCTAGAATGTTGGAGCCAGAGATCTCCTTCATTACCACGAGGAGATCCAATCTCTTCAGCAACATCATCTGGATGCCTCCTTCCTGAGGAATTTTCACCTTGACTTGGCAAAAATGCTAGTCATGTCAGGAACGTCAGGCACAGAACAATACATTTCAACTTTTATCACTTTCACACGAATTGACACGAGAAATGCAAAAGCGAGTCTGATTTATCTACCCAAAGAAACAATTCAATCTTCTTGATACCTCACATAGGAAATGGCCTATCCCAACGATTTCTTCAAATCTATTTTCCTTTCCCATACCCGACAAACAAAGGAGAAAAAAAACATGTCTTCCATTTTGATGCACAGCCTAGACAAAATGTGCCTACGATATCATCCAAGGACATTCAGCTCATTGAAGTGAGCCAGGATGATGAAAAACCTCTCGGAGATTCCCCAGTTTTCAAGACGGTAAAGCACATGAAACGCCTCTTGAACAATTTTCTCAGTCCGACATCCGGCGTGAATCAGAGTGCAATAGCCAATCTTGGCAGGACCGCCATATTGAATCCAATTCTCGATGGCTTTCTCGTTGTCATGCCGTTGATCTATTGGAAAAGGTTCGACCCAGTCGACGTCTCTTAGAGACTGGGGGCCATATTTTGCAAACGCGAGTATAACAAGATAGGCCGTGAAAGTGCGAAGATGGTCGCACGGCGCAAATCTTGCATGAATCTTTGCTGTTCGGATCATCTGGCCAGCGTGCCAAACACACTGCCGAGATTTGGATGGACGCGCTGCGAATTGCTCGATAAGCTTTTGCTGCGCCCAGCGCAAAGATGTGCGAGAGCTGGGCAATCTGGTCGAAGCAGCTTCACGAGTTATGAAGATTATCAAGTCCATGACATCGGAATACACTGATAAGTGGGTATAGTGGCGAATCAACATGGTTGAGCTATGCATCATGTTAGCGAATGGCTGGAGAAGACGATTGCTCAGCTGATAGAAGATCGACTTACCTAAAGTTGATGAGGTCCATTGTTGATAGAGGATTTGAAATCGCGGCATCATGCATGGATTTGCCCAAAAAGCTGATGGACCGAAGCACAGACTCGGTCTTCTGTGCAGCAACAGAGCCCGGGTCCAGGCCATGATGCTGGGCAGCCGTGCGAGTGCTTTCTCGTTGAGACTGACACATATACCCCACACAGACTCTTTCCAAGATCTGGGTGCACAAACGCTTGCTCCAAGGAGAGATATGCTCCGATAATACCCTTTTTGCTGCTGTGGCGCTCACGACGGTGGACACCAGCGGTCCCTGAGCATGATATGGTGATTGGGATCGGATATCATTCCAGGTATGGGCATTTGGGGCTTCATATAATTCATCAGAACACGGAAACCTCGAGGGCAGATCTCTCAGACCTATGGCACAGGGGCTGTTGGTGAGGAGGGAAAAAGTGCAATCAAACTCGAATACAGCCCACGTCGTTCTGATTTCAAGCTCCCGCGCTACCCAGGCTGCCCATTCAGCTTGCACTGACTGCGTGGGCGCCTCAAATACTCGAGACGGTCCATCTTGGCTCAAACCGTCACCACCCAACAGCCCCAAATTTCGAAGCCTATCAACCAGAAATTTGCGGACTCTGTTTACCTCGCTATGAACATTTTCGACGCCGGATCCGAGCACGTATGACTGATGAAGGCACACTGCAGCCAGATACATGATATCTAGGCTATTGTCAGGACAGCCAATGGCCTGTCGACAGTTAGCATCTGTATCTATGGGGAAAATCTTGCGGAAACTTACCATGATGTTGAGCTCCGAAACACATCTTGCACTGATATGATGCGCCTGGTCAACAGTTTCATGATCCTTGTCGAAGACCGCCCCAATACAAGCCATTGCTCCGAGCACTACCATTGGGCATTTCTCGAACTCGCAGGTAGCAACATGGAAAACAGGCTGGGCTTTTTGCCAGGTAGAAAAGTAATTACCGACAACTTGCCTTAGCAGGTCGATTCCGGATTTCAGAGAGTGCTCAGACAACCCCACCAAGTTGGGAATATAGGGTGCTTTGAAAACGAGCCCCAGGCTGTCAAGTGCCATCACCTGGGAAGCATCGAGAGGAATTGTATTGGCTGGTTCCCCTGGCGGATATCGGTAGGAGCCACCTTTGATAAGTTTCTGAATCTCGGGTATCTTCGTTCTCAAGTATGCGACGTCAAAGTCCAGCCAGCTCAGACTACCTGCTCGGATATTAACTTCCCCGGGCTCAGTTGTTCTGGGAGGGAAGCCGCATGCCTTGATATCAACATCCTTAGGAGGGAGTGGCCTGGGAGGAAGTTTGAGAATTCTTTCGGTAGGGCTGTTTGGGCGTGGCGTGCTCCAACCAGGAGAAACATGACCAGATGCTGAATCTGGTTCTGCCTGTTGGTATGACATATTATCTTGCAACTGTTCTGCCTTTATCTGTACCTGCTGCTGTGGAGATGCAGCAGTGTCCTGTACCGGTGCAGCAGTCTGGGGATCAACAATCTCACACTGTGCACCTAGACCATCAATGCGGCACCACCTACAAGGAGCCTTATCAAAGCACGGGAGCTTATAACGCACACAGCGCGGACAAGCGTGCCTCTCATCAGTCTCCTTGAAATGGAACTCGTTGATGTGCTCTTGGAGCCCCTCGTCGGTCGCGTACTTGCTCTCACAATAGCCGCACTTGTGATTACTTCGTCTGGCTTGGGCTCGATCTCTCAATCTGGCCAATCTGGCGTGTATTTTGCGGTGGCTCTTCAGTTCGCGCTCGTTGTCGTATGCTGCGGTACACTCGTCACATGAATGCAGATCGGTCCTGCCTTGTTGCTTTGGGGCCATTTGTACGTCGAAACTACGTTGTGCCGGATTCGTTCTGTCTTTCTTACAACATTAGCAAAGAGCCGTACAAAGTACAATCTGGGGATGGTCCACAAGCACAGACACTCAAATTGAGACGTCAGGAACCCCTTGCATTGACTAGGGTAAGGCAGGGAGGCTAAGCGGTGGTAGAGACGGAAGAGGCGAAGATGTTCAGACGGCGATGCTTTCAATGGGCAAGCAGTAAATGAACAGGACCGAGGGCAACAGAGTGAAGAAGAGAAGAATGCAAACCAAACTTCGGGTTGAAGAAGGAACAGGTGCTGAGAATAGGCACCTCCCTACCACGGCCTACCTTTTATACAAACCCTCGAGAGCTGAAGGAGGGCATCGGTCTGGTCAACGGGAAGCCAGCCACGGCAATAGCTCTCTGCACTCCCTGGAGCACTACCTTGCTCCTTTCCGCTCTTGATCGACGCCGCACACGGCTTGTCCTTGACCTTGAGTCTGCTCGCCTTATTGGCTTACCATCTACTGCGTCCCTGTCCAAATCGGGTCGCAAGACTGCCAGCGGCTGCTGCAATCGCGCGGCAGTGCTTGTGCTAAGCGAAAGTGCGTGGCGGCTTGCATGTGCGGTACCAAGGACGAAAACACACACACAAAAAAACACCACCCTCCTTGACATTCTCACTCCGACAGGACAAGGTCAGGGTCTCATGCGTCTTGACAGTTCCTAGGCCTTGTTCGTGGGCCTCAAGGTGCCTGTGCTCGCATCTCACAGCAGCATTAGCAGCAGTGTACAGACGCTGGCGTCGCATTTGAGCTACATTGTCACACCTGGGTTCCACTGTCGTGCGCTGACCGGCTGCGAGGTGCGGGAAGAATAGGAACAAAACAGGCATGGAGATATGCTCCTGGTCAACAAGAAAGCAGCCACTTCCCAATCTTTCAGAACCCGGTCAACTTTGGCTTGTTTGCCGTCTCGCGCCAGAGGCGTAACCCCCTGGCCAATCACTTCTTCTTTATCTTTCTTTCTTTCTTTTTTTTTTTGCCCTTTTGTTGCTCACTAGCTTGTAAAGCTGAAAGCTCAAAGCTGAAAACCAAACCAGGGATTGACAGTCCTCGCTCGTCAGGCCCCTCAGACAGCAATCTCCGCAGTTACTGAGTGCTAAGCACGACATATTGCTGCATAGTCGTAGGATTACTGGGCTGGGAGGTAGGGTGGCATCGATCCCAGGTTGCAGCGCTCATCGCTTGGATCACTGACCATACAGAACAGCAGAGATTAGGACGACCTGCATGTCCAGTATGACTGGGCGGCTCTTATGGAACGGCTGGGGGATATCCATCCCAGTATGAGATCTCAACGGAACTAATCTCATGGCCGGCGCCGCTGCTACTGCTGCTGCCAATGCCCCCACCGCTTCCTTTTACGCACCGCCTGGTTCGTATCGCTACCATCAAGACAAACCAGGCGACATTACTACAAGCCAAGGCTCAAGCCATAAAAAAACAGCCAATCGTACCGTACTCTGGCAACCAGGTCGGCCCCGTAATCCGGTCTTTCCTTGGCCCCATTGATAGGCCGCAGCCCGGTTTCCTCTTGAGTTCTGATGCGGCCCGATCCACAAGCAAAATCTCACGAGCCATTCGCTACGGCTGGTGTTCGGGTCGGGCATTCATACGGGTATGAGAAGCATATTATGTCAGAGAGCTGCAGTAAAGGGTCAACAACGCTACTTTGAACCCGGAAGCAGCTCTTCCTAGAGGCACAGCCTGCCATTTCATACGCGAGACAACATTGGCAACGCAGCAGGAGTAGGAAGAAACACCCCCCCCCCCCCCCCCCCCCCCCCCCCCCCCCAAAACGATACCCCCGCTCAGCGTACCTGTCTGAGTCTCACGCCTCCTCATGAGTGGCTAGCGGATTGGGAGAGCAGCAAATCAAAGCCAACCCCAGGACTCCGACTTTGGGCAAAGCAAAGTTACCGTTACACACGACAAGATATGCACGCCTCTTGATTTGCTTTGTACCCTGATTGTTACTAAAAAAAAAAAAAAAAAAAAAAAAAAAGTCCTTTGCGACGGCTGCAGCTCTTGCCACTAATTTCCCTTTGAAGGGAGGCTAGATAGGCATCGCCCTCTCTTGACACGGATGTTATGTCGTCGAAACAAAGCGATTTGGCTCTGGGAGACCGCAGTTTATTCTCGCATCTCACGATACTGATTTTATGCAATGTCCCGCTCTAGATCTCTCCAGATTAGCTCTCTTCTGTTCGGAGGGACTCCACAAAACATGCTGTGTGGGCACAGTTCGCTATCCAGCACCCCAGACTCATACAAGGATGCGTGTACCCTTACGGAGTACAACCGGTAGTTTTACCCCTCGACCGGGCAGTTTTAGGTACCACCTCCAGCTCGACCCATATTCTCTCTTTGGATGGCTTCGCTCAACTACCATATGCAAGAGCAAGCAGTCGTGACGTTGGCAATACACTGCAACAAGCAAGCCTGGATCGGACTCCCGGCTTCTCTTTCTACGTGGCCATCTCAGAATGGCACATCTCCAATCAATTCATGCGCGATAATGCATATTGGGTCACACTCGGTGTTGTACAGCTGTATAAGTGATGAGGTACAGCTAGCTTGCCGCCAATTTGTACAGGGTACGACACCAATAATTTACCTTCCCGCTAATCGAACATTGCTTTTGCTGAAAGCCCTGGGGCTTTCACCCAACAACTTGGCAAAAAGTTGTCTAATTACGAGCACTACGCTCCGTGACTGGTCTCAGACTGCAAATTGCCAATATGCAGTCCAGAAACGCAATCTCTCGTTCGTCACCGGGTAGCGGCAGCATATCATATTCCCGCATCATTCAGCTGAAATTGTTTACAGCTCGGGTAACTCGCCAAACAGAACAGTGCTTTTGTGATGTGTTCAGTCTACTCTGTCGCAGCAGCTCCGAGTTTACTCCAATCCACCTGCAGGGATGCATGGCTCTATGTCGGCCAATTAGGCCGAACAGCCCTCTGCTATAAGTCCTACGCCTTGTACTCCGTGCCATCAACCAAAAATGGGGATTTGCAGCCGTGTTAGTAATAGTGGGCTAGAGCAGCAGCATGCGTCAACTACTACGAGTAGCATGTCTCACGCATAGCAACAATCCCGGAAGACACAAAGTGGACAGCGACCATCATGTCACAAAGCGTACCATGGCACTTCTTCCTTGGATATCGCCCAATTACCGCTTTCGTCGTCTTTTTTTCGTCGAGCAGCTGTGGAAGTCTTTCCTTTCTACATGAGAGTTTTCACGAGGCCACCTATGGGTATGATTTTGACACTTTTTTGAGGGACCTCCAAGACAGCTGGGGAGCGTTGGTCGAGTTGACAGGCAACGACTCCACCGAGTTGTATCGTCTTGGTCACTGAACCAGCGAGCCCAAGACAAAATAGTGGCATTCTAAACGATAGTGCCATGCAGCCTCTCCAAAAGAAGTAAGAAAACAAATTGAAACATTGTGACATTGTGGCTGACCTGCAAGCTTCACCGGGGATGCTTCCGTCCACAGACAGATGCACCCAATATTGATTCCCGGCCGTGCCTAGAGCATGAGAATGGACTTGGTTGTTAGCCTCCTGCAGCTTCATGTGTGATTAGAAGGCAGTCAAGAGACCCATCAGAGGAGCAGGCAACGAATCAACGAGAGACAATAAACGAGGGGAACAATGAAAAAGTGACATGTTTTGCGAGGGCCTGGATCAACCGCGTATACCCTGCATCCCGTCCACCATCTCTCAGCCAGGCGTTTCTTTCGGGCTTTCACACCTTCTTGGATATTGGTGGGCAGTGTTGGATGCAAGGGCTTGGGCATCGGAGTTGGGCAGCCAGAGCCTCGTCTGTTCATTTGTTTGTGTGTCTTTTTGCCCTCTCCCTTTCTTTGCCTGCGAACAAGGGTGTACGCCACAGCTGAAAATCATTTCTGGACTCAATGAGACGGGTGGAGACCGACCTCGCAGTTGCTCACTCGCAATACTCTGTTTACCATCTTCCAACGTTTCTGTTCGAAGCTTTTAGAGAATGAGAGCCTGAGCAATGGTACTTCAAGCATGTCCATATGTGGAAATGAAAGGTAGTACTATACGTGGGGGTGAGGCTCGGAGAAAAAAAAAGGTAATATTACATCAGAAGCTACGGACCATCTCCGGGCGGTTGGTGCTGCTACTTACGAACACTCGTACGGCCGCCAGGGCCCCGGTCAACATGATGCCCCTTGATAAGAATAGAAACACGCAAGTCAGTTTTTGTGACTGTAGCTGGGAAAGTCTAATCCCGAAGTTACCCAGTCACATTAGCGGATAAAGTTGCGTGCCTGTACAATGATGTAGGGGCAGTACTCCGCATCAAGCGGCCAAATGCGATGCTCAAAGAAAACAAAAGATCGGTGAACAGATGAGACACGCATCTGTGAGGGAGGAGGGCAGAAGACAGAGCGGCAGATGATATCCGGGAGATGAATCCGAATCCACAGAAGGCAATCACCCCCCCGCGGCAGACTATACATGCTACCATAAACAAGACGGCGAGAAGGCTTAACACCGCCAGGTGGGACTGGATGATAACCAAATGAGGTAACGTTCTGCGCTGCATGATTCTTTTGTTGTTGCTGGCACACTGGTAGGTAGTTGTGTCCCCCCCATGAAGCAGATCTTGAGAAGACATGATGGGGGGAAACTCTGAAAACAACGACTGACAAGAGATAGCATCTGGCAGTGGGAAGATGTTGCCGATGCCCAGGCTATCTGCTACCATCCACGGCCGTGGCTTTCGTTGATTAATGCCCACTGCCCGGTGCTTCAGACTGCTGCTGCGTTCTGATTGTATCAGGGAATCGAACCGGCCATGCCCATTAACCTTTAAGCGTATATCACAGCTAATCCATACCGGCAGATCTGCAAATGGAGTATCTACCAACCTCCCTTGACGGCGGGACCATGTGTAGGCCTGCCAGCCCTAGAGA